TATTCAGTGGCCCATTATACTGTCATTTAAAATCATGTTTGGGGGCACCTGGGTGGCTTAGTTGGTTTAATGTCTGGTTTTGGCTCAAGTCATGGTCCTGGAGTCCCAGGATTAAGCCCCACATTGGGCTCCCTACTCAGTGGCAAGTCTGCTTCTCCCTCTGCCCTTCCCCCACTCATGCTTGCTCTCTTGCTCTCTCTCAATTACATAAATAAAATCTTTAAAAATAAATAAAATCATGTTTTAGAATTGGATTTGATATAGAAGTTCAAAATGTGTGGCAAAAGTAAATGGTCCTATTTCCGTCTTTGTAAAATAATTTGTGTTTCTGTGTCTTAGAAACGCCAGGTAGTAGTCTTATCATATTATTTTATTTTCATTTTCTCATTTTTATTATATAATTCTTTAAAATACTTTTAAATATTGAAATTGAGTATTTTTCCCCTTATTAGCCAGTATAGTGCCTTTGGGGGTTTTTGCTTGCTTGTTTGTTTGTTTATTTAATTGAGGGGGGGCATGAATGGAGGTGGGGGGCAGAGGGAGAGGGAGAGAATCTTGAACAGGCTTCACGCTAAGCGTGGAGCCTGACACAGAGCTCAAACTCACAACCCTGAAATCATGACCTGAGCCAAAATCAGTAGTCAGATGCTCAACCAACTGGGCCACCAAGGCCCCCTGCTTGTTGTTTTGTTTGTTTGTTTTTAAAGATTTTATTTATTTATTCATGAGAGACACACAGAAAGAGAGAGAGGCAGAGACACAGGCCGAGGGAGAAGCAGGCTCCATGCAGGGAGCCTGATGTGGGACTTGATCCCAGTTCTCCAGGATCACGCCCTGGGCCGAAGGCGGCGCTAAACCACTGAGCCACCCGGGCTAGTCTGCTTGTTGGTTTATTAAACAAATACATAGTCCTTGATCCCTGCTATTTCTTGGATATTGCTTATGCTAAAGTTGCAGAAATAGGTAGACCTGCCCCCCACTTACACTGTTTAATGGGCTATTAGACCAATAATAGCATTACAGTTTAGTAACTGCAGTGGAACAAAGAAGGCAAGGAAAAGAACTCTTCCTGGAATTGCTCAAGATTGCTTTTCAAAGGAGTCATGTGTGGTGATCAGAGATTTTCCAGACAGAAGAGGAGGTGGTATGAGCATTGTAACTATAGAGAAGGAATATATGTGAAAGCCCCAGAAATACACAGAACGCCCCCAGAATCCTCTCCTTTTGAACATTGAGAGGAACTGTTCAAATGTGGCTGCTTTCCCTTGCCTAGTCCTTAAGCCAGATCAACTTGCCAGTGATGCCATGGATATGGACTTTGAGCCACCAGAGAGCAGGATACCAGCTTAGGGCCAAGAGTTCTGTCTAAAGTTCAGTATCCTTCCCTACCAGCCAAGAACCAAGGCACAGTGGCATGGGTCTTGGGGTTTACAGACTTCTGCTGCTTATCTGACCTTGATATCTATCTGGGCCTGTCTTCTGGATTTGGCCTCAAAGGGTCTGAGCAGATAAACTTTCCCTTCATCATCAGATGCAACTGACCAGTTCCACCTACATACACAAGTATCTATTTCCACAAGTGCACCATTTGTTTAAGGGAAAAGTTGGAGAATAGTGTGTCTAGTGGAAAAAACACCGCTCTGAGTATCTCTTAACTAGGTATAATTCTGCTTCTGCTGCTCTTTATTATTCCATCCTTAGGCAGGTCACTTTACTCTTCAGTGCCTTAGTCTCATTTATAAAGTGGGCATAGAGAAATACAAGGATGTTAGGATATTTTAAGACTCTGTGTGTGTGTATGTGTATCTAAATGGAAATTTTATATATAATGCTAGTTATTTTATTTTTTTATTTATTTATTCATGAGAGACAGAGGGCAGAGACAGAGGCAGAGACATAGACAGAGGGAGAAGCAGGCTCCCTGCATGGAGCCCAATGCGGGACTGGATCCCAGGACCCCAGGAGACGACCTGAGCCAAAGACAGACACTCAACCACTGAGCCACTCAGGTGCCCAACTAGTTATTTTTAGTATAAGAATTCATTGCATCTTTTATTTCACTCATAGCATGGAGCTGAAAGCAGTATTTAATGATTCATTCTACTTTATTCTGTAATTAGTACTCACACATCCAGCTCCCTCAGGGAATTTTTTTGGAACAGAATGCTCCATCTTTTTTTTTGTGTATTCCCCAAAACACACAGACTGTCTTGGACCCTGGATCAGGGTTACTAATTGGACCCGATAGCAGCAGGTCAGGATCCCAAACTCAGAAGGTCTGGTTAACTGTGCCAAGGCACAGAGGTGTTATGGGAAGGCAGTCTGACCTAGGTAATTATAGATTACCAGTTACAAGTATGCACATATTTGTATGTGTGTGTGTGTACACATAACATATATAATACATCTATAAAAATAGAATATTTTCTAAAATGTTAAGTGATTTTGGTTCTATATTTTCTGAGTTTTCTGTAGTGAATATATATTACTTACATGTCTGTTTTTATTTTTTTAAAGATTTTATTTATTCATGAGAGACACACAGAGAGAGGCAGAGACATAGGCAGAGGGAGAAGCAGGCTCCCTGTGGGGAGCCTGGTGCAGGACTCAATCCCAGGATCCTGGGATCACACCCTGAGCTGAAGGCAGATGCTCAACCGCTGAGCCACCCAGGCATCCCTGGAATATGGAATTACAGAATTGGAATACTATCATTTTACAATGCTGAATAAAGGATCTAATGAATTAAAGATCTAAGGATTGCATATCAATGACTGTTCACAAAATAATCAGTTAGACATATGTACTTTTTTTTTTAAAAAAGATTTCATTTATTTATTTGAGAGAGAAAGTGAGCATGAGTGGGGTGAGGGGCAAAGGGAGAAGCAGATGCCTTGCTGAGCAGGGAGCCCAATGCAGGGCTCATCTCAGGACTCTGAGATCATGACCTGAACCAAGGGCAGATTCTTAACCAACTGAGCCACCCAAGCACTCCTCTTTTTTTTTTTTTTTTTAAGACAAACTGTGACAAGATATTCTGGATTATCTTATACATTTCCTGTCCCAGATCTGAATCCATCATTTCTCTAGTAAGTTCCGGTTTCTTGAGTGAGGAATGGTATTTCAGCACAACAGTCTAGGTACTAGAAATGCTCACTGGTATTGGTTTGGTCATTGTTTCTGGATCTCTTCAGTGGGTACAGTTAGGACATTATCTGTGTTTGTCTCTTCGTATGTATGTATATACATACACATATAGCTTATTTTTTTTTTTAAGATTTTATTTATTCATGAGAGACACAGAGAGAGACAGAGAGGCAGAGACCCAGGCAGAAGGAGAAGCAGGCTCCATGCAGGGAGCCCGACTTGGGACTTGATCCCGGGTCTCCAGGATCAGGTCCTGCCTGGGCTGAAGGTGACGCTAAACTGCAGAGCCACCTGGGCTGATATAGCTGATTTTTTTTTTATCCCACATTATATATAAAACATATACAGAAAACAATATCAGAAAAACCTACATGATTACTGAAAATAACTTTAGAGATATGTATACACATACACATCTGTATCTAAATTATAGATCATCTGGGCAGTAAGCAGTGGAACCATTAATAAGAATGTTGTTTATACCAGATATTCCCAGCAGAAGTCCTTTTTTGTGCTTTATACCTAGGGCCAGACGTAGATTCAGTAATGGGTAACACAGAGCCCATAAGTCTGAGTACTTATCAACTGGAAGAGAATGGAGGAGAGCATAGATCCAGCCAGTTGGTTTTAGTGCAGCAAACAGAATGCCTGTGGGCAAGGCACTACGCCAGTGCCCAGTATATAAACGCACTGTGTGAGATGGACAGTGAAGATGACTTATATGAGTACAAATTATTAGCAACTTCAAGTAAGACAAAGATGTTATTTGAGTATCTTAGGCAACTCATAGCTGATGTGTTTTGGTTAACTGATGATGTTTTAGAGGAAAGCCAGAAGCACAAAGGAATGTATGGTGATTGCAAACAGGAGTGAATTCAGAGAGGAGGCTGAAAAGCAGCTGGGGTGGGGGACAGAGAGAGGTTGCACAAAGAGGAGAGTCAACTGGGAGACACAGAGTTCTGCAATTCTCCCACTGCCACTAGGGGAGAGTGTAAGAGAGCAGAGGGCTCTGGGCCATCCATGGCACCACTCAACTCCTAACTGAGGTTATGATTTGTCCTTAAACAAAGCTTTATTGATGTGACCACCTTTTGTCACTGGATATACCATCTTTTAGGTACCTCATAAATAGGTCCCCCTCTCCAGCTAAAGTAAGGCACTGGGTGGTCATTACTGTCCTTTTTTAAAAACAACTTTATTAGAATATAATTTCTTTTTTTTTAAGATTTTATTTATTTATTCATGAGAGATACAGAGAGAGAGGCAAAGACACAGGCAGAGGGAAAAGCAGGCTCCATGCAGGGAGCCTGACGTGGGACTCAATCTGGGTCTCCAGGATCACGCCCTGGGCTGAAGGCGGCGCTAAACTGCTGAGCCACACAGGCTGCCCTAGACTGTAATTTCTATACCCTAAAATTCACCAGTTTTAAGTGTACAATTTAGTAATTTTTAGTGACATTTATAGATTTATACAACCATCACCACAATCAGATTTTAGAACATTTTCATCAACCCCCAAAGCTCCCTATGTTAATTTGCAGTCAACCTCTATCCCTGCCTGGCCTCATTCAAACCACTAATCTACTTTCTGTCTCTCTAGATTTGCCTTTTCTGGATATTTCATAGAAATAGAGCACATACCAGGTGGTCATTTATATCTAGCCTCTTTCCCTTGGCATAATATTTTTGAGATTCATCTATGTGATAACACTTATCTGTAGTTTGCTATTAACTTTTAAAACATATATTTAAATGGTCTGGTATTTTGATATCTGATACAGTTTCATGATTTTGATTTTCTAAAGTACTCTTTAATATGAACAAACACATTATTCTTTTCATTTTCTTCCTAGGATTTGGTGGCTTTTGAACATCAGTGGACTAGCTTCTTTGCTAATTTTGACACAGAAATTCCTTTCCTGCTGGAGCTTTCTGAATCTCAGGCGGGTGAGGTATGTAAGGAAAGGGTCAAAGAGAAAAAGTTGATTAACTTATTTATAGTTTCTGTTTTTGTTTTGTTAATTTTTTTCAGAATACAATACTACCAATCCTAATATGTTTTGGCTATTATTTCCTTAAGCTTGTTATATGCTGTAAAGAAGTTTTTTTTTTTATTTTTTTTTTATTTTTATTTATGATAGTCACAGAGAGAGAGAGAGAGAGAGAGGCAGAGACACAGGCAGAGGGAGAAGCAGGCTCCATGCACCGGGAGCCTGACGTGGGATTCGATCCCGGGTCTCCAGGATCGCGCCCTGGGCCAAAGGCAGGCGCCAAACCGCTGCGCCACCCAGGGATCCCTGTAAAGAAGTTTTTAACCCTCATTCCAACCTGCTAACCTCTCTAAAGATTTTTTTTCTGTGCCAGTTTCTGTACAAGAAAGATATTCATTTTATAGTGTGGTGGTACCTCTGGCAGCAAGGAATGCTATTAGGCACTAGTTAATAAACCTAGAAATAATTCTCCACATGTGAGTAGCATACCTTTCCTCAGTCGAACCTCTAGGTAAGCTTTCTTTCCAGGCAAACAATGTAAAGTTACTAGATTCAATGTAAGACTCACTTACTCCATAAGTAAACTGAGGTATCTAGATCAAGAACCAAAGCTAGTCAACAGGAAGGATCAGAAGAGCAATCCTGAGCTTACACTTGAGCTTGCACTGCTAGTCCTCAGTTCTCCTGCACTGCATTAACCTTTGGATCTGGTGTTGATCTTTGTTGTTATCATGCATTTCACTTTTACATATGTTATAAACCCCACCAATATGTTGCTATTATTTTTGTTTGAGCAGTCAGTTCTCTTTTTAATGTTGTTTAATCTTTTTTTGTTTAATCTTTTTTAACAAGATTTAAATAATTTAAAATTTAATTTAAAAAAATTTTTTTAAATCTTATGTATTTGCCCTTGTAGTTATTGTGTTTGATGCTCTTCATTCCTTTGTTTACATTTAGATTTCCATTTGGTATGATTTCCTTCTCCCTGGAGAGTGTCCATTAATATTTTTCATAGTGCAAATCTTCTGATGATGAATTCTTCCAGTTTTTATATGTCTGAAAAAATATCTTTATTTCACCTTCATTTTTGGAAGATATTTTTGCCACGTATAGAATTCTTGGTTGACAGTTTTTCCAGTACCTGGAAGATGCTGTTTGACTGTCTTTCTTTTCCCTTGCATTGTTTGATGTTCTCCTCTTTATTTTTTTTTAAGAGATGTTATTTATTTGTTTGAGACAGAGAGAGAGAGAGAGAGAATGAATAAGTGAGGGGAGGGGCACAGGGAGAAGCAGACTCCCCGCTGAGCAGGGAGCCCAATGCAAGGCTCAACCCCAGGACCCTGGGATCATGACCTGAGCTGAGCCAAAGGCAGATGCTTAACCATTAGACTGAGCCACCCAGATGCTCTGTCTCCTCTTTAATATTCATCTTTATTTTTATTCTTTATTCCTTTGTACATGTCTTTTTTTTTTCCTGTAGCAGATTTTAAGATTTTCTCTTTTATTACTGGTTTTGAGCAGTTTCTTCATTTCTTGTGCTTGGCTTTTGTTGAGCTTCTTGGATCTGTGGATTTATAGTTTTCATCAAGTTTGGAAAGCTTGGGATGCCTGGGTGGCTCAATGGTTGGGCGCCTGCCTTCAGCTCAGGTTGTGATCCCGGGATCTGCGAGGAGCCTGCTTCTCCCTCTGCCTATGTCTCTGCCTCTCTCTCTCTCAGTCTGTGTCTCTCATGAATAAATAAATAAATCTTTTTAAAAAAAAAAGTTTGGAAAGCTTTTGGCCATTATTTATTCAGACATTTTTTCTGTCCACCTTTTTCTCAGAAACTCTTAATTACCTCTGCATTAGGCCACTTGAAGTAGTCCAGCATCTCACTGATGCCCTTTTCCGTTTTCTGGATTCTCTTTTCTTCTCTCATTACTCTGGTTCCAAGAATGAAAGATCAAAAAGGTATATTCTGTAACATATCACTACTTTTTTCCTATAGCCCCCTCTCTCATTCCCTCCCTCTCTTCACCATTTTCCACTTACTGTACTACCAGTAGGTAACAATTCTCTTCATTTCTGATTTACTTTTTTTTCTTTTTACAAATGAACAAATACATGTGTATTTTCTCTTGTTTCTTTCATTGAAGGACAAGATACATGTAGTCATTTCCACTTAGCTTTTTTTCACTCAACAATAATACATCCTGGAACTTTCTCCAAGCCAGTTCATTGAGGTCTTCTTCATTCTTTGTTATGATTCATTCTACTCTATTGTGTGGATTTATCTTAATTTATTCAACCATTCTCTTATGTATGCTTATTTAGGTTTTCAGTATTCTACCATTGCAAACAATGCCACAGTAAATAACTTTGTGCTTATGTGTTTTCATATTGTTGGAGGTTTGTATACCTAGTAATGTGATTGCTGGGTCAAAAGGTAAGTGCATATCTAGTTGTGTTAGCTATTGCCAGATTTCTCAAAGGGTTGACCAGTTTCCATTCCCACCAGCTCTATATGAGAGTACCTGTTTCACCACAGCCTCACCAACAGGATGTATTGTCACACTTTTTAAGTTTCATAGTTTCATATTTAAGAAATAGTATTTTTCTAATTAGGAGCAAGCTTGAACATTTTTTCATATTTGAAGGCCACTTTATATTTTATTTTCATATTTTTTCCCATTTTAGTATTAGTACAGTATTTTTAACTGAACTAGAAGAGTTTGTGATTGAATGAACCTCGTAAGTTATTAGGATTACTTGAGATAAGTGTCTATCACAATTTACATGGTGAACCTTCAGTAAAATGTAACTATTTTATTTAATTTTTTAAAGGATTTTATTTATTTATTTGTTTATTTGACAAAGAGCACAAGCAGAGGGAGCAGCAGGCAGAGGGAGAGGGAAAAACAAGTTCCCCACAGAGCAGGGAGCCCAATGTGGGACTCAATCTCAGGACCCTGGGATCATAACCCAATCCAAAGGTAGATGCCCAACCGACCAAGCCACCCAGGGTGCCCCAAAATTTAGCTGTTTTAATATATAAAGAGTTTTTGCAGATTAGTAAGATCTGTGAGCACCAAAACTCCAATTGATGATCATCCAGAGGATATAAGTAAACAATTAACCAAAGGGAAATCCAGATGGCCATTGAATATATCTGAAATACTCTATTTCATTAGAAATCAAAGGAATGTATAATAAAACAGCAGTGAGATACCATTTTTCATTTATCAACTTGGCAAATATATTTCTAAATGAACATTTAATCACCAGTGCTTATGAGGATACCCTGAGATAGACACACTTATATATTGTAAGTGGAAGTGTATATTGATAAAACTTTCTTTTTCAAAAATTTTATTTATTCATGAGAGACACAGAAAGAGAGGCAGAGACACAAGCAGAGGGAGAAGCAGGGAGCCGGATGTGGGTCTCCATCCGGGTCTCCAGGATCACACCCAGGGCTGGAGGCGGCGCTAAACCGCTGAGCCACTGGGGCTGCCCTTGATAAAACTTTTTTGAAAAACAATTTGGCAACATAGTTCTGCCTTTTTACCCTATAATTTAATTTCCAGATCTGCTTTACGGAAATAATCAGAGCTGCAAATAAAATTTTTGGAAGTATTATTTATGATGTGAGAGAGTTAGCAGCAATATAAATCTCCAAGAATAGAGGGCTATTTAACAGACTTTGGTACAACTATATACTACGGTTGTACTGTAGAAAAAAAATAGAAAGAAAATATACCAGAATGTTAGCAATTATTAGAGATAATAGGTGGCTTTTATTAAATTCTAAAATAAGCATATACTACCTACATAATCAGGGTGAGGGGAGAACAATAGATGTTATTTAAGTGGATTAAAATTGCCTTTTGGAGTTTTTAACGCCTTTGATATAGATGCTACATATTAATTTTTGGTTAGTATTTAGCCTAATACTATACACTCAGGCTAAGAAGTACTTCTGTGGTTTCCTGAGAAACTTCTTTTGGTATACTTCTAAATTCCATGGATTTGTTCTCAATGCTGATTTTAAATTAGTAAGTTAAAATTAATATATATTCCTTTATTAGAAATGTAGAGAAACACAATTTTAATAGAAGGAAAATTCTTACATGATTAGTAACTTTGGCCATAGATGATGATTGGTCTTATTTTCTTTCAGTAATTAAAAATTCTAAAATTTAACAAGAATTTTTCCTCACCTTTTTCTTTTGCAGCCTCATTTCTTCTGCTGTTTTTTGCTGTTTTTTGTTTGTTTGCTACTTGTCCCCAAAATTCATGTTGCTTTCTACCACATATGTCCTTCCATGGTCTTATAATAATCTATAAACATCTCCTTCTCAAACACATAGCACACTCTATACCTACTTGCCTACATCTGTACATATATGAGGGGTTTTTGTGATTGTTTTATAAAATTTTGATCTTAACATATGCAATGTTGTCTTTTTTTAGCCATTCAGAAGTTACTTCAGTCATGGAATGATCTCCAGCCATATAACTGAAAACAGGTAAGTTTATTGGGGAAGAAGGTAAATAATAATAGAGAAAACCAGATCGACTAAGGGTTTGCTTAGAGAGCATCTAAGTCCAGAAGGTATAGTCAGGAAAATACAGATTGACTTAGTCATCACAGGGTAAGAAACTCATATTCTGAAAAGTCATCCGTTTCACTACTTTTGTATTTATATACATATATATTTTTAAAATACAGTTTTATAGCAAACTAGCTCTTAAAACATTGTAGCTTACTGAAATGTAAAGGAAGGAAGTTTCTCTTTCATCCCTACACCAGGAAAGCTAGAAAGCAGAATGTCCAAGGGCTAGGCAGGATGAATAGCGTTTTGTGGGGAGTCAAAGAACCCTGGCATAAAGGCCCAGCCCCAGCAATCTGGGGTGCTGCATTTGTCTTCTTGAAGTGTTTTCTTTAGCACTTCTCTTGTCATGGTAATTAAGAGGGCCCAGCTGGTGATAGTTCCTCTGCTAGAGAGATGAGAGTAGATGTCTCTTTTCTTTCCTAATTCTTTTTTTTTTTTAAGATTTTATTTATTTATTCATGAAAGACACACACAGAGAGAGAGAGAGACAGACACAGGTGAGGGAGAAGCAGGCTCCATGCAGGGAGCCTGACGTGGGACTTGATCCCAGGTCTCCAGGATCACATCCTGGGCCGAAGGAGGTGCTAAACCGCTGAGCCATCTGGGCTGCCCTTCTTTCCTAATTCTAATCCAATCTGAAATGAGACAGATTGCTCTGGCTGGAACTCAGGGTCATCTTTTTCTGCCTGAAAAGTCACTTAGTTTGAATTAAGCTTCAGAAAAAAAATCAGAGTTATATTTACTTTTAAGAGCCCCTATTTGCCTAAAGCTTAAGAGGAGGTATTTTTAAGAATAATACAAAGAAATGTAAAGAATTTTCCACATGACACACACTAAGAGCAATTTAAGGAAAGGGTAGGGGTTAAAGGAAACTTTTTTTTTTTTTTAAGATTTTATTTATTGGGATCCCTGGGTGGCGCAGCGGTTTGGCGCCTGACTTTGGCCCAGGGCGCGATCCTGGAGACCCGGGATCGAATCCCACGTCCGGCTCCCGGTGCATGGAGCCTGCTTCTCCCTCTGCCTATGTCTCTGCCTCTCTCTCTCTGTGTGACTATCATAAATAAATAAATAAAAAAAATTAAAAAAAAAAAAAGAAAGCAAAAGCTTTTAAAAAAAAAAAAAGATTTTATTTATTTATTCATGAAAAACACAGAGAGGAGAGAGAGAGGCAGAGACACAGGCAAAGGGAGAACCAGGCTCCATGGAGGGAGCCTGACGTGGGACTTGATCCCGGGACTCCAGGATCACGCCCTGGGCTGAAGGTGGCACTAAACCTCTAAGCCACCTGGGCTGCCCTAAAGGAAACTGTCTTAATCTATTTAGCTGCTGTGACAAAAATACCATAAACTGAGTGGTTTATAAACAAAAAACATTTATTTCCCAAAGTTCTGGAGGCTAAGAAGTCCAGGATCATGGCACTGTCAGATCCAATGTCTGGTGAGAGCCCACTTCTTCCTCTTAGATACTAGATACTTCCTCTTAGATACTTACTTAGATACTTCCTCTTAGATACTTAGATACTTAGATACTAGATACTAGATACTAGATACTATAGTCATTTTACTATAACCTTACATGGCAGAGAGGAGGGCAAGGGATCTCTCAGGAGCCTCTCTTATAAGAGCCTTTTTTATAATCCCATTTATGTAGGATCTGCCCTTATGACTTAATCACCTCCCAAAGGCCCTACCTCTTAATACCATCACTTTGGGTGTTAGGATTTTAACATATGAATTCTGTGGGAACACAGACATTCAGTCCATAGCAGAAATTATCTTTTAAAAATATCCTTTAATCACTATTTTTGAGAATATATGACATCCTAAGTAAGAGATAAATGATTAAAAAAAAAACCCAGCCACAGTGCCCAACTGGCTCAGTTGGTAGAGTATTTGACTCTTGATCTCAGAGTCATTAGTTTGAGCCCCATGTTGGGCGTAGAGATTACTTAAAAAATAAAAAGAAAAATAAACAACCAGTCATGGTCTCTGCCCTCATGGAGTGTGTATATAGTGTCGTAGAGAAGTAAGACATTAATCAGGCAACCTCACCAAAAAAAAAACACGTAATTACAAATTCTAATTGGTGCCATGAAGGAGAAAAGAACATGGCACTGTGAAGACCATAGCTGGCGAACATGGCCTTCTCTAGGGGAAAATCTGAATGATGAGTAAAGATAATTAAGGAAGGGATGCCTTGTTGGCTCAGTCATTGAAATGTGTGACTCTTGATCTCAGGGTTGTGGGTTTGAGCCCCATGTTGGGTGTAGAGATTACTTAAAAATAAAATCTTTTTTTAAAAAAAGATGACTAGGGATCCCTGGGTGGCACAGCGGTTTGGCGCCTGCCTTTGGCCCAGGGTGCGATCCTGGAGACCCGGGATCGAATCCCACGTCGGGCTCCCGATGCATGGAGCCTGCTTCTCCCTCTGCCTGTGTCTCTGCCTCTCTCTCTCTCACTGTGTGCCTATCATAAATAAATTTTAAAAAATAAAAATAAATAAAAAAAATAAAAAAAGATGACTGGGATGCCTGGGTGGCTCAGCGGTTGAGCCATCTGCCTTTGGCTCAGGGCATGATCCTGGGGTCCAGGATCGAGTCCCACATCGGGCTCCTTGCAGGGAGCCTGCTTCTCTTTCTGCCTGTGCCTCTGCCTCTCTCTCCCGCTCTGTCTCTCTCATGAATAAATAAAATCTTAAAAAAAAAAAAAGAAAAGAAAAGATGATTAAGGGAGAAGAGCATCCTGAGATGAGAGCATAAGGAACATAAAAGAACATGGGTTTGGTGGAATATAAGAGTTAGAAGTAAGTGGCCTCCTGTGGAGACAAAAAAGTTGGCCAGGCCAGACCATGCAAGTCTTCTTTGGCCATGTGAAAGATTTCAGTCCTTCTGAAAATAACATAAAGGCATTAAAGGCTTTGCATGTATAAAAGGTTGTCCTCTCTGCACAGTGGAGAATAGATTATAGGAGAGCAGAAATGGAAGCAGGGTCGCTGTGAGGAAGCATTGCAATTGCCTGGAGAAAAAATGATGGCAGCATGGATGAGGCTTGTGACCATGTGAACTGAGGGAAATGAACAAATAGGAATGAAATGTGGGTGGTTGATTGGATTTGGAAGGTAAGGGGCAGGGGACACCTCGGTGGTTCAGTGGTTGGGCCATCTGCCTTCGGCTCAGGGAGTGATCCCAGGATCTGGGATTGAGTCCCATATCGGGCTCCTTGCAGGAGGCCTGCTTCTCCCTCTGCCTGTGTCTCTGCCTCTATCTCTTTGTGTCTCTCACGAATAAATAATAAAATCTTAAAAAAAAAAAAAAAAGGTAAGGGGCAGGAGAAGTCAAGGAGGCCTAAGGAGGTATCTCAGGTCTGGCTCAGTCCCTAGATGAATGATGATGACATTTATTTACTGCAAGAACTGGAAAGGGAACAGGTGTTGGGTAGATCATGAAAGAGGAGAGGAAAGGCAGGCAACTAAAATAAAACCCTAGGAATATTCAGAGGCAGATAGAGAAGGAGAATGGCTGACGACTGAGACACAACAGCTTTAGCAGGGAGAGGGTACCAGGTGCTTCTGAGAGACCAAGGAAGGTCAACCTGAAGCCTATCCATTGGATATGCTATTTGCGTGCTCGCTTTGGCAGCACATATACTAAAATTGGATTTGCTATTTGCTACATGAAAGTCACTTGGTGACTTTTGCAAGAGTGATTGGAGTGAAATGACTTAGGGGTCAATTGAAGTAACTGAGAAGTGAGCAGAAAGTAACAAGAAAAAACTAAAATAAAAAGACAAGTCTCACCAAGAGATGAGACAGAAGAAGGGATGCATGCAGGGTAAGTGGATATGGCAGTGAGACATTTGCAACCCCACTCTCTTCCTCCCATCCTAAAAGCTACTCCCGAATGGTTTATGCCTCTATTGTCTGCCTATCACAACTGCTGTCATCCTTTAAAATTTCTATTAAAATGCTATCATAAAAATCTGGAATCTTGCTCCATCTCTCCATCATGGACAGCAGACTTAATGGAACTTTCTCCTTAAATAGAACAAGCTGAAATTATAAACCCGCTTGGATTTAGTTATGTCCCTAAATGTCCCTGTGGGTTAGTAGGAGTCAGAGACATCTGGCATCGCTTCCCAACAAGCAAGGAGTGTGAGGGGGACTATATTGACCACTTGACTCGGACCACATAACACCACCCTGAAAACCCCAAGAGCCCACTTGCTGAGAAGTTGCCCTGGCTAGGACTCTTTTCTAATCATGTTTTTGGTTTGCCACTCCAGCCCTAACAGGCAGCCATTTGTTCTCTTTGGTAATCATTCCACACGAGAAAATCTGAATGCCGGCAACTTTAACTTCCCTTCTGAAGGGCATCTGGTACGCAGCACTGGTCCCAGTGGGAGCTTTGCCAAACACATGGTGAGTGGCTTGACTACCTGGTGCTCAGTTGGTTTTATTATTAAATAAGGAGGAGGGGAGAATAAGGGGAAGCTTTCCAGTTAGCATATTGATTTAACCTTGAACTTGAAATTGTTTTGGAGTGAGAGAAGTGATTGCAAACTGACTGTATTTTTATGTAAGTTCTAGGTATAATTTGAAAACATCATGTTTAATTTTTAAATATTTGAAGGAAAAAGGTTAAAAAAATACTTTCTCAAACTAAACTCTTTAAATTGTCATAGAACTATTGTCAGCAGAATAAGAATTTTAAGTTAACTTGCAAATAGACTTATACCAAGGTTTGATGTGTCTTGACTGTTACATTTCAGGACATAAACATTGAGGATCATTATTCTTTTATTGAGCGTGCCAGGGATAAGACTTTTGCATTTGGTGGTAAATTGCTGCTACATTCTTTTAAAGGAAAGATGAGACTGAAATAGGAGACTCTGGTGTTATAAAAGGCTGTAGAAGTTTAAGTATTTTCAAAATGCTTATATATATCCCATACTGGAAACAGAGAAACTGACAGCCCAGAAATGCCAATAGACACAGACATAAAAAGCCCCTTCTGCTCTCTCTGGCAGAAGGACTAGGGAGGGGACAGCCTAGCAGGATGGAAAACTTTTAGACAACCGTTACTCTATTCCAGCCAAAACCCTTAGAAAAAAACTGCATCTCCATCTACCTGTACTAATATGGACTAAGTGAAGAACCTAGGTATCCACCTTACCAGTCTATAATGGGGTACCATTGCCTTACCCTACCCCTGCTAGGATTAGTGTTAGAGAAGCCCATTAGGGAGCCATGACTTTCATCCCCACTGGGCACCAACGAGCCCTCCCTACCCCTGCGGTATCAGTAAAGAACGTGGGAGCCTCAACATCCACCCCTACCCAGCAGTAACAAGGTGTTCTTCCTTGGGTAGTATCATTAGAGGCCCGGGAAGAGTCAGGACTTTTACTACCACTCAGCCATGACAAGGCCACCACCTACCCAGAGTGTGTGTCACTCTCCTAAGCCAGGGTGGCATCAGTAGAGGAATACCAGAGAATCTGAACTCCTGTTCTTACCCAGCACTTACAAATAACTTGTGTACACACACACACACACACACACACACACACACACACACACACACACTGGATGTCAGTAGAGGCTGTGTGGAGAACCTGGACTTAGCTTCAACAAAGCAACATGCTCCCCTGTTCACCCATGGAAACAGTGTCAAAGGTCTGCTAAAATGCAAAATTTAAGTAAGTTCCAGGGCAGCTTACATTCTCAGCACTAACATGTAGAGAGCTTGGAAATCATTTCTCCCATCCTTACAAGAAAAAAATTGAAAAACTGAAAACCAATAACTTTTCTTATACTCATCAAAGAACTGAAGTATCAAAGCAAACCCACTCCAAGATCTAGAGAGGTGAATCTAGAGAGTCACAGCTAGTGCCTGCTTACCTGGAACAGAAACCACACTTAAAGAATACTTTTGATGAATTCTTAGAGGCTGAATGTGGACTAGAGGGAGAGTGGGAAACTCCTAAAGTACACAGTACCCACACATCTCTGGGTTTACTTCTTTCTATAAACCTAAAACTGCTCTTAAAAATAATCTATTTTTTTAATTTAGCAAATTCTTTTTATATAACTTACTATAATTGAGGATCTTTATTTAATAAACATGAAATTTAATGAAGTCACGGAACTTACCTGAGATCTGGTCCTGTGGTGGGATGGGGTTGGGGGGATCCTGGATTCTGACCTTTCATCTTCATTCATCTCTTTTTTCAATATAACATAATTAACCTTTCCATTTCTGTGCCTTTGTGAATAATTTGCAGATTAGTAGGTGACATGTAAAACATGCAAATCCAGATAATCTGAGCAGTTGTACATTATATATGTAAAATCTATTGTACCAGTTTCTTTTAACATGTCAATAAATTAGATACTAATCTATACTTAAACAAACTTATGATAGGATCCAAGGAAGCAGGTTTGAAACAAATGGCACCTTTATTTTTTTTTTTTTTTTATTTTTTTTTTTTAAATTTTTTTTTTTAATTTTTTTTATTTATTTATGATAGTCACACACAGAGAGAGAGAGAGAGGCAGAGACACAGGCAGAGGGAGAAGCAGGCTCCATGCACCAGGAGCCCGACGTGGGACTCGATCCCGGGTCTCCAGGATCGCGCCCTGGGCCAAAGGCAGGCGCCAAACCGCTGCGCCACCCAGGGATCCCCAAATGGCACCTTTAAAAAAAAAAAAACTTTAATAGAAATTTTGAAATCCAAGAAACATGTTTTATTGAAGAAATATGCCTATCAACCAACAATTAGAAATACGTACATGCATTTTTTTATTTAGGGTCATGGCAATATTGATCACATTCACTATGGTAAATTATAGAGTAGTCCTAACAAGTTTTTTTTTTTAGATTTTATTTATTTATTTATTCATAGAGACACACACACACAGAGAGAGAGAGAGAGAGAGAGAAAGGCAGAGACACAGGAGGAGGTAGAAGCAGGCTCCATGCAGGCAGCCTGATATGCGACTGGATCCAGGGTCTCCAGGATCACGCCCTGGGCTGCAGGCGGCGCTAAACCGCTGCACCACGGGGGCTGCCCCCTAACAAGTTCTTATTACACATCTTTAACTTGGATTCACAGTGTTCACAATATTACAGAAAAATGCCATGCATTTTTCTCTTGTGACTCTTTGAACATGAATGAATATTTGCGTCACATTTAGCAATTTTTTAATATATTGCACTAATTTTTTTCCTTTAGTTCTTATGATAGCATTTTTGTGTTTTATAACTGATATTATGGGAACCATGAGATGCTGGATTTTCAAAAGAAGAAGACACCTATATTCATCTTTGTATAAATTAAACAGGGAAGAAGAATAAAAATTTTTAAATCTAGGGAACTTATTTTCTCTTCTTCAAGGCCTATGTACAGAGAAGAATTACAAACAAAGGTGGGGCCTGGGAAGCACCCTCCTTTCCTGAATTTGTAGCTGCCCCCACACATCTGCCCATCCTGTCAGCCAAGATTCTCACTTTGAAAGTTCTGGACTCTTAGTAGCAGTCAAAACCCAAGCACATTTCCTCTTTTCCTTCTTAGTTGTGAATTTGTTATCATGGGATGACCTAGCAATGACCTCACAGTATAGCTAAGGTTAAAAACAACACAAAATACATTTAGAAAAACAACAGTTAAAGGTGATCTTTTCCCCTTTGCCTTTAAAAAATAATAAATCAGCAGTTGGTGAGATAAAACTGATTTCCACTAACTATATACTTTTCGTTCTTAAATAGTACACACCTGAGTCCCTGCTCCTTTTTTCACTTGTATATTTTCTCTGACATCCAGGTAGTACAGTGCGTCTCACCAAAGGGACCCCTTGCTTGTTCAAGAACATACTTTTTTGGAGCTACTCACATTCCTTACTTGGGTAAGTCCCTGTAATTTTCATCTCATCAGCTTTCCTAATGAAGAATTTCCCCCATAAACTAGAAATGGATCCATAATTTACTGCTTTCCTCAGAAGCTCATGATACCCAATTTGTAGGCTTCCAACTCCCTCTCTGATTCTAGATGGAGACTTTATACGCCTAACACATTTTTCAAAGAATGTACTTCAGGAGGAATAATTATCAACTCAACATGTATATAGTTTAAACATTGTGAGACCATGTGATCAGTGTCAGAGGGAAGGCAAAGATGAGTAAGTCCCATATCTCCAGCAGGAGATATGGGCTACAGTGGGAGTTTGTATGAGTCAACCAGGTGCCTGCTGTTCTGGTGAAGAAGATCCATGGTAGAAGAGTACCTGTGAACTGGAAATATTCACAGGAGCAAGGGCTCCATGCTGCAGGGCCATCCAGAAAGATTAGGCCCACTGGGGCTGCCCAGAAACCAGGTTTTCATCTGGGTGTTGCCATATAGACTGGAAAACTCTGAAAGAAACATGATAATTAAGAGTCACCTAATTAAGGAGATGATAAAGAGTCAAAACTGAGCCTACTTAATTATACCTCTGAACTTGAAAATTTAAAAATAAAGGCAAAAACTTTCCAGAGATTCCCTGTCTTCTCTGGTGTTTAGGGGTGATAATGAGTGGGTTGTCAAAATCAGTGTCAAGAGTAAAAGTCTAAGAGGACACTGGGAGAAGCTGTTGCTTGTGATTGTACTGTATTTCAATCCAAAAGAAAAAAAATGTAGTATTGACATCTCCTTTGAATTAAGAAATTCTAACCTCCTTGTGAAGTGTTTGTATGTCCCGTGATCTTGCCACACTTAATTCTTGGTCTTCTTTCACAGGTGATGAGAATAAGCTGCCCAAGAAAACTGAACAAATGTAAGTGTTCATTTTTAATTTATTTTTTCTTTCTCAAAGTTGAGTTACTTACAAGTTGTGGCTGTCCTGTCTAACTCCTTTGAGATTAGCAGTGGGTAGGACATTTGATGAACAGAGCTGTGGTTTCTTAGACCCTGTCTCTCAGCTTGGAGTCCTGCCAGCTTTGCTATGCACTCCTCTCTCCAGAACTCACAGACTTCCTACCTGCAAACTCATGCATTTCAATGGCGTAATTCTTAATATTATCTTCTACATAATATATATTTTTATCAGGGGCTTTCCCAAAAATAAAATATCCTGAAACATTGGGAGAATCTATGTGAAACCTCGTCTGCTCAGAGCAGTGTTTCCTCCTCTGGATTTGACTCTTAGGCTTAAGGAACAGAGCTGGGATCTGAACTCAGGCTGCACATTATTTAAAAAGGTCCTAGTGTTGACTTCACTCCCCTCATTTATGACAGGAAACCAAAGATAAGAAATAAACTCATTAATGTTTATGTTAGTCTGCTTGGGCTGCCATAACAAAATATCATAGATTGGGTCACTTAAACAGCAGAAATTAAATTTCTCACAATTCTGGTGGCTAGAAGTGTCAAGTTCCAGGTACCAGCAGTGTTAGTCTCTGGTGAGACCTGTCTCCTTGAGTTGCAGACAACCACCATCTTGCTGTGTCCTCACCCAGCCTTTCTTTTGAGTTCTTGTGGAGCAACAAATATCTCCTGTGTCTCTTCCTTTTCTTATAAGGATACCAGTCCTATTGGATTAAGTCCCTACTCTATGACCTCATTTAACTTTAATGACCTCCAAATACAATCACATTGAGGGTTAGAGCTCAGCATGAGTTTTAGAAAGACACAATTCAGTCTATAACAATGCTGCAACAACTGAATTCCAATAAGGAATTTTTCTTCAAAATATGAACATAATTGAGTTCTATTATTACCTAGCTGAATATTCCTGCATAAAATACCTGAGTCTAGATGAGTGCTTCCCAAAGGCCAATAGTGACAAGCCACAAAGAATCATCTAAGGATCTTTTTTTTTTTTAATTTTTTTTTTATTATTTATTTATGATAGTCACACACAGAGAGAGAGAGAGGCAGAGACATAGGAAGAGGGAGAAGCAGGCTCCATGCACCGGGAGCCTGACGTGGGATTCGATCCTGGGTCTCCAGGATCGCGCCCTGGGCCAAAGGCAGGCACTAAACCGCTGCGCCACTCAGGGATCCCTAAGGATCTTTTTATAAATACATGATCCCCAGGCTATAGTAGTTCCCAGAATTACTGAGAATCTCTGGGGTGGGACCACTAAAGCTGTATCAAAAAATATATATAGTATAAGGAATGTAATCAATCAGACACAGGAAATTTGGAAAATAGAAAAGAAAAAAAGAAAACCAGATCAGCCATAATTCCTCCTCTTTAGCACTGCCCATTAGTATCTTTCTGCATTTAAAAAAATTACACATTTAGGTTTTGTATAGCTATAATTAATGTGTAAGCAGTGTTTATTGTGTGAATTTTCTGCCCTTTAGCAACAAGTCAATTACACTCACATTTGGTGGGTATATATAGTCTTGCTTTGTAACTGCTAGTGATTCTTTTCTATTAATTAATTAATTAATTAATTTATTTTTATAGAAAGAGTACATACACATAAGCAGTGTAGGGAGGGGTTGAGAGAGAGAGAGAGAGAATCTTAAGCAGGCTCCAGCCCAGCATAGAGCCTAATCTGGGGCTCAATCTCACAACCCTGAGATCATGACCTGAGCCAAAATCAAGAGTTGGATGCTGGGATCCCTGGGTGGCGAAGCGGTTTGGCGCCTGCCTTTGGCCCAGGGCATGATCCTGGAGACCCGGGATTGAATCCCACGTCGGGCTCCCGGTGCATGGAGCCTGCTTCTCCCTCTGCCTCTCTCTCTCTCTCTCTCTCTCTCTCTCTCTCTCTCTCTATCATAAATAAATAAAAGAAAAAAAAACATTAAAAAAAAGATTTTATTAAAAAAAAAAAAGAGTTGGATGCTTAACCAACTGAGCCACCCAGGCGCCCCTGTACCTGCTGGTACTTCTGTGCCAGCTGTGCTTATCTACTGTATCTTCATTCTGAACCCCTAGGCATTTCTCCTAAACCAAATTCATTGGTGCCTTGCTTCAGGGACTAGTATTAACCAATGCTTGAGACTACATCCAGAGACTTGCCCCTAGTGGAACCTGTGTGTTATGGAGAGTCTTAGGGAAGGCAGCAGCAGCACCATCTGAGGCATAGAGCAGACTATTCCCTTGTCATGAGTCTCAGGCCTCACATTCATTTTATGAGTTCATAGCCAGGCAGCTTTGCATTCAGCTCTTGTCTGAGGGTCTGTATAGGAAGATGGCCAAGCAGTGGGGAGGCCTGAATAATGTTGGTACTGAGTGATGTCTGAGTCAAGCTGGGTGGAGAAAGGAGGAAGGATCTTTATATGTCTTTGGTATTGGTGTCAAGATGTAGGATTCTGGTCTACCTGTAAGTGGCCAAATTCATTGTCAGTATCCCTACCAGGCCCCTTCCTATCAGGACACACCTCTCTGTTGTGAGCTGGCCAGCAATCTCAAGGATATGTTAATCCTTGGAGTTGTCATTTTGTTATGTATGCTTTTTCTGTTTTTTTTTTTTTTTTCCTTCTACCCAATTCAGATCTCTTACCTAAAATGTAGAGGTGTGATGCATGAGCCAAGGAAGAAATAAAGGAGTTGGCAGTGTGATGTGGCTGGTAGAAAAGAACCAGGCTGACAGCAGATCTGAATTCAAGTCTGCCATTCATTTTCTGTGCCTTGGGCAGTTTATTCTGCCGTCAGAGGCCCTACCTGCTTCTTCTCTAAGATGAGAGCATTAGACTGGATTAATTCTGTGTTCCTTCCTACTTTCCAACTCCTGTCACCTTCCTTTACTGGTTACAAGATTCTCAGGCATAAAAATAGACATATTCTTAGGCAAGTTTTTATCAGTTTCTTGCCAGGCACCTCCCCTGTCATTGAGGGTCTTGTGGATAAACCCCTTCTGTCTATAATTATCCTGATAAGATCCCAGATCTCTCTCCCCTAAAGTAGTGATTCCCAACTAAAGGCAGTCTTACTGCTTCTCTTCCCCCAGCCCCACCCCTACCACCAGGGACCTTTGATAATGTCTGGAGACATTTTTGTTATCCCAGGTGGGGGTACTACTGGCATCTAATGGATAGAGACCAGGGGTGCTGCTAAACATCCTGTAGTGTACAGGACAGACCCCATGACAAAGAATTATTTGGCCCAAAATGCTGAGATTGAAAATTTCTACTTAAGGGAAACCAATCTTGAATTTTCTAGGGACCTTCAAAGCAGTTCCACTCTGGCAAAGGAAGAAACCTTATAATCATTTTGGGAAGTGAGAAGTCTAAGAAAAAGGGCAAGATTGGTGATCAGAGAGCAGGGAGGCTTTAGGAAAGGAATCTTTGCCCTCAGAAGCACACTCTATTCTCTAGATCGGGCAAACTACTTGAAAAGTGATGTGCAACGATAATTTGAATTTAAGTGGAGCTCATCTTTTCCAAGTAATCTCTTTTACTCCCGAGGTCTCCCACTCTGAGGTTCCAGTAGCAGTCAGCCTTTAGCATGCCTGGGAGGAGACGACATGAAAGTGTGGTGTGGTTGGTCCTGGAAAAGCAGGAAGTCTGTACCATGACACTGAAGGAATTCAGGCTCCTGACCTAGAGGGGCTTGGGAGCCCACAGAGTTCCTTTTTGTTGGATCACAAGCAGGGAGGGTTGGTCTTCTGAGCAGAGCTGGCTTTTCTTATCATGGTTTAATAAGAGTAAATTTTCAATCAGGTGAGGCACATGACTTGTAAAAGGTTTAGAAATCAGGGACACCTAGATGGCTTAGTCGGGTAGGCATCTGATTCTCAGTTTCGGCTCAGGTCATGATCTCAGGATCCTGGGATCTAGCTCCTCATCAGGCTCCACACTCAGCAAGGAGTTTGCTCAAGATTCTCTATCCGTCTCCCTTTACTCCTCCCTGCCTCACCACGCATAAGCATACTTTCTCTCTCTCTCTCTCTCTCTCTCTCTCTCTCTGAAATAATTAATAAATACAAAAGATTTATAAATCAATGAGTTCCTTTTTTGCACTTTTCTCATTCTTTTTAAAAATCAGTTTCTCAGGCAGTGTCATTTATGTGCATGCAGCTTTTGTTGAAACCCTGTGATGCTGTAGTTAACCCATATTTTTTGTTCTAAAGTAGGCTCTTGTCCCAGGTGTATGCTGCTGTTATAGAGGCTGTTTTGGCTGGCATTGCATGTTATGCTAAAACTTCCAGTCTAACAAAGGTAATTTAAATACCACATTTCTCTTTCCTTAGTAATTTCAACATAAAACTTCCTATCTGTTTGTTTTGGTTTTGGACACCTGGTAGTCAGTTTTGTGCCCCATTGGAGTTGGCACCAGACAAAGAGGTGCCTGAAGAGGGCTGAACTGTTGCTGCCTGTGACAGAACTGCCATTGTTCTAGGAGTGACAGCTAATCAACACTTCTCTGTAGATATCTGATTGTTTTAAAGAAAAGTCATTCTGTAGTGTATTGTTTTACTTAATAGCTTAATAGCTTTTAACTTTTAAAGTTAAAAAATAAAAAATATAGATTTTTCTATTATGAATTCAATGAAGTTAGGTAAGTTTGTCTTGAGCTACGTAGTGTGATTTCCTATAATTCAGTGTTAAAAAAAAAAAAACTAAATAGAAAATCTCACTTGCTTATCCTAGACAAGCACATGTGTTCTCGTTCTCTGACCGTTCTCTTCCTTGCTGTTTTGCGGTTAACCTGCCCTGCTGAGTTGGATTCCTATATCTGACCCAGTAAGGAGATGAGAAGAGTCGGCTTGATGCCTCCCAATGCCAATAGGACCTTTCCTGAAGGAGCCATTTGACATTGGAAAGGTTGTGTATGATGTAGATACCAGAGAGACTGTAGCCATAGTCACCAGCTCCCTGCCATCTCCCCTCCTCACTGAACTTAAATCCCTGGTACAACTTGGGATTTGTCAGCCCTTTAGCTGTAGACTTATGCAATATTAGTTCTCACATTTATGTTTTTTTTTAACTGATCTTTTGTAACTCTAGGTATTTGAATATTCTTAGCATCTGGCAGAAACTCCAAGGGCAGTAGTCCCTCCCCCAGGGCCAGGGGAGAGGGGAGGAGAAAACCCTTTTCCAGACCTCACAATGGCATCACCCCAGCTGGTTACAGTTCCTGGCAGATCAGGTTTCAGTGCCCACCTGCCTGAATGAAGTGTTTCCTGTGAACCTAGCCCAAAGAAAGCAGGCACCTGTTTCCCTTAACAATGTTTTCACGTCGATCTTTTGATGTATATGAAGCAGTTATGTAGAGGGGAAGGGCACAGTGTTCTGGCCAAATGTTAGAAGGGTACTTCCTGTCCATGAGGTCTACGTTTTTCCTGCTGTTAAGGCTAATTGTCTTGTCATTGCTTTTTACAGGCAAAGGAAGTAGCCGAGCAGACCCTGGGATATGGGTTAGATTCCTTCGAATTGATGCAGTTTAAGGCAGCCCTACGGTAAGCAATGGCTGCTATTCTCTATAAGGAATTATTCTTAATGTTTGTTTTATAAAGACCCTTTTCTGCCTTGCATTTGATATTCCATCTCCCCTCTGAGAAATGTGCCAGTAAATAAGGAGTTATGTGAGGGAGAAACATTCATGATCAGGGCTTTGAGAGGCCAAGGATCCAGAGATGGAGGAACTGTATGATAAAGAGTCAGACACGTTTCCTGATGCCGGAATGTGAGGCAGAAGTGTCAGAGACCTGAAGGACCCAGGTTCAGAGGTTAGAAAGGTGAAGCTGGGAACATGAGGAATGAAGTTTGTTAGGGTCAGGGTCCCTAGGCACATAGAAACAGTTACTGCTTAGAAGAGCCTGGCTCTGCACCTCCGCTACCTTTCAGGTAATAGATACCCTGAGCCTGCTCTTGTCTCAGGGGCTAGATGCTCTGGGAATCCGGCTTGCTGGCAATCTAACCATCATACATGTTCTGGCACATCACAAGGGCCCTCTGTGTGGTCTGTATCCATAGCTAAACTTTCACAAACCCAGTCTACCTAACCCTCCACCTGTCCTGTATGAGGACCACTAGGTGTACTTTTTTTTGCAAAGGAAGCAAAAGATACCAACATTGGGGAGTTTTTTGGGAACACATATGGGATGTGCCCTGGGGTGCCTCAGCTCCATGACCCACATCTTTTTACATCTATAGCCCTGGGTAGTAAGAAAAAAACATTGAGAAAGATAAGTCAGTCAGTTGATCTAACAAGAATTCTATTGCTGCAGCTCTAGGAGCAGAAGGAAGAGCCAGGTTTCTTTGGTGGAGACTTCAGCCCCTTTCCTCTGGGTCTTCTGGATCTTGTAGCTCTGGAGGAGGGAGGGAGATAGAAGGAGTTTTTTCCCTTAAGGCCTTGTGCTGGCCTGCACTGCCTATTCCTGGCAGACTTGAGTTTGAGGAATCTCCTTTGCTTTCTGGCTGTGAGTGACTTTGGGTAAGACGAGGAGCTCTCTGTACATCTGCTTCCTCGTCTTCCCACCATGCAGAGTTACTAAGCATGTAAATGTTAGCTGCTGTCACATGGGGGTCTTCTGTGTCACCATCAACATGGCTGGCATAGTCATTCCCTGCCTCCTTTCCTTGGGGCCTTATATAGGCCACTCACCTTTTGGAGAGCAGGCCACTTTTCCATCCCAAGGCCTTTTAGGCCTGGGCATACCTCCCCAGCTGAAGGAGGGAATACCAAGCAATGAGGAGCATCTCCCAGGGCAGCCCTCCATTTGGAGCCCCACTCCTTTTTCTCCACAAAGTCACTTCACTGAGTACCCCTCACACTAATCAGATTAACAGATCATCTCCTGAGAGGAACACAGGACTTTACCTCTGCTCAGGCTCTGAGCAGGGGATGGCAACTTGACCCAAAGGTAGTAAAGAGGAGGATCAGAACAATATGTCACAGCTGTGGAGCAGGCAGCCGTGGGCCATTAGAGGATCTTCCCAGCCTGCAGTAGACAATGGTTCTGTCACATGGTTCTCTCCTGCTCTATCCAAGAGTCAAGACAGCCCTGAGAATCTGCACAGAGGCAGAGCTATGACTAGAGTCAGATGCTGGCCCCACACTTGGCAAATGTGCCGTGAGGGCCCAGCACAGGTGCACTGTAGCAGCAGGTGTCTGGGGAGTAGCCAACAGTGTGGTTATTAGCAAGAGCAGACTAACTTTTTATTTTGTTTGGATCTACAGCTCCAAGATGGCTTTTCATATTCATGCTGTGAATAATCAGGGAAGGTAAGTGTATGTTTGTGGTGCATGCTCATTTGGGGCAAGTCTTAGGAACAAAAAGAGAAGAGAGGCTATCTTGTAGCTGCCGACGTGGATGGTATAAGACCAGGATTGGGCCTGGGACTGGCCATACTCTGCTGAGATCCTATACCCTGATCTTTTCAGTGCTTCCAACTGAAAGACTGAGGCATGGGAATAGGAGGTGGATCTAATTCCTTCTAGTGGCCTATGTACTACTTCTGCATACATGCAATCCAGTGCTTTGAAAAGCCCTGAAAGAAATCTGGGCTAGGGGTGCTGCCAAATTGAGAAAACAAACAAACAAACAAAAAAAAAAACATTGTAAATGTAATACATGTCTCTCCTGTCTCTTTTTCTCTTGTAGGATTGTGCCTCTGGACATTGAAGATAGCTTATACTTCGTGAAGACGGTAAGTAGAGCTGCTATAAGCCAGCTGGCAGGAAGCAACCTATAGAAGAACATCTACAAAGGGTGAGATAGGAGTAGGTGAGAGTCTTGGGTAGACCTTAGCTGAAGAAATTGGTCAATTCTCAGGAGTGTTCCAGCTGCAGCTGTGATGAGCCTGTGATTTTGAGGGTGTCCAGGCAGCTGTACCAGGCCCACATCATACTTCCATGCCTTGGCTTCCCAGTGTCCAGGGTTTTAGCTGGGAGCTGAGAGAGACACTTCTTCCTAAGGTTAGGGAGGCTTCCTCCAAATGACTCAGACTTCTGTGACCTAGTGTGAAAATGAGCTGAGTACTAGCCTGCCTCAACACAGACCGATGGATTCTCTGTGTTTCAGGGCCTGTGTTGATGCCCTTAATAGGGATCTGTGAAAATAAATTTTAAAAACTGGGGGCCTAAGTCTCCAGCGAAGTGGGTAGTCAGAGCTGAACTTTCTGACCCATGTGCTGAGGGCACCCTGATAGGACAGGGGCATGGTTTAGAAATGCAGAAATATTGGTCCCCAGGTGGACTGGCCAGCATGGCCTGGGGTAGCAGAGTTTCTAGAACAGTTGCTCCTGGTCACAAGCAAGTTTTCTATTTAGCCCAGCGCATCCTGATGTGCAGAAGATTGGCAATGGATGCATGAGAGGATGATAGCCATCTACCAAGATTCTGGTTGCAGTAGATATGGGCACAGATTATACCTTGAGTCTGTTCTGTAGCTACTGCCCAAGCCTTAAATCCAGTGAGCTTTTGGTCCCTAGGAACTTGGTGCACAGGTATGGATGACTCAGTGCAAATGCATGCCTACACCATCACCAGTGGAAAAGCAGTAGTGTTGTCCTATCTACAGAGAGTAGAACAACATAGTAACTTTTTAAGGTTGTGACTAATTTCTCTTTTTATAATGTGTCTGCTTCCTGTACCTGTCAACAAAATGTGTTGATGTTTGTTTAGAACTGAGACTTTATTGTGACATCATCAAGATGCTAGGAGATGTTTTTTTGATATCAGGTGGTAGTACTTTATCTCCTTGCCAGACTGTAAGGCCTGACTTCTCTATTTAGACCCTTCTGCAGTGCTCTGGAAGGTCCTTTGCACAATAGAAGGCAATCAGGAAGTGGAATCATACTGTTGTGTTAAGTATGCATTCAGCAGCCACTAATGAAATAGGAAAGAAGAGAGAGAAAATTGTTTTCTGTCCAAATCCTGTCCTCCTTTCCAAATAGAGATAAAGTTCTGCCTTTTGATTTTCTGTCTCCTTTTCCTCAATATCAAAAGCTGAGTATAAAAGTAAGGCATTGGATGTAACCTACTGGATTGTCTTTGATCTGGAAACCAAAGTGGGGTTCCCATTGTCACTTAAGAGAAACCATGCTGCCCAGCAAGGTTTTATGTCTTCACGTGTTCAAAATTCTTTGAAGCAGATTTTGCTTCAAAAAAAGCAGGGTTTTTTTTTTATAATAAATTTATTTTTTATTGATGTTCAATTTACCAACATACAGAGTAACACCCAGTGCTCTTCCTGTCAAGTGCCCCCCCTCAGTGCCCGTCACCCATTCACCCCCCCACTCCCCTTCTACCACCCCTAGTTCGTTTCCCAGAGTTAGGAGTCTTTATGTTCTGTCTCCCTTTCTGATATTTCCCACACATTTCTTCTCCCTTCCCTTCTATTCCCTTTCACTATTATTTATATTCCCCAAATGAATGAGACCATATAGTGTTTGTCCATCTCCGATTGACTTACTTCCACGATTGCTCCATCCACGTTGAAGCAAATGGTGGGTATTTGTCGTTTTTAATGGCTGAGTAATATTCCATTGTATACATAGACCACATCTTCTTTATCCATTCATCTTTCGATGGACACCGAGGCTCCTTCCACAGTTTGACTATTGTGGACATTGCTGCTATAAACATCAGGGTGCAGGTGTCCCAGCATTTCACTGCATCTGTATCTTTGGGGTAAATCCCCAACAGTGCAATTGCTGGGTCGTAAGGCAGGTCTATTTGTAACTCTTACCCCTTCCAGTTGTCAGGCCTAAGGTTAACTAAAATATAAAAGCCTACCTGTCACTTTTATACATCCTTATTTCATGACAACATGAGAAATTAACCACTTTGGCTTTAAATGTTTCTTTCTCAACTCTTCTGCCTTTCTTTTGTGTTTGGGAATCTAGCAATTTCATCAAGAGCCCTACAGCTTTTATCTCTCTCCTGAGGCTAGAGGTCCCAGGCTAGGACAATAATGTATGAAAATGAGCCCTATTTCAGGAGCTCTGCACCTGGCCATTCAGCAATATAAGGCCAAGAGGAGATAGGACCTGAGAGGGCTCATTGTGGTACTCATTTCATGTCCCTCACCAGATCTTCAGTCTTCCAGACCCTGGCTCTAGTTCATACCATTTTCTGCATTTCTTCTGCTAGATTCTTCCCCCAGATTGTCCCATTTTCATTAGTTTTAACATAAATTAGGGCTTCTTTACCAGCCATTCAAGAACTCTGTCAGTATTGCTCCAATTTTTTTTTCCAGCCTACTGAAGCCTCTATTTTTGTCTTGCCATAAAAGCTTAAATAGTTTTCTTTTAATTTTTTTGGTACTGAAAGAAGATTTGTAGGTATTGACATGTACCCAGAAATATCCATGAAGACATGTGTAGTGAATGAATGACTGCCTTCCTAGACTTGTTCAGAACTTGAGCCCAAATCAAAGAAGGAGTTGGTGAGCATGTGGATATGCCAGGATGTGAAGAGTGTACAAGTGTACAAAAGCCTGGAAGAAACACCTCCAACTCAGAGGCCAGGGCCTCATCACAATTATGAAGGAAGGCTATTATCTTAGGAAAGATAAGCAATTTGAGGGAATTTATAGAAACATAAAAATATTCTTGTGGCCCAAGTGTGTCTCTGATGCAGAATCAGTTGCAGGGGAGCTTGGGTGATGCTGAAGTCCTCTGCTAGTTCTGAGATGTAGTTCAGGATAACTTGTTTTCCTTAGAAACTCTGAGGTACTCTGTCAGAATGTACCTCAGAGCAATATCTTGTGGTCTGTTTCTTAAGGTCTCTTCTTGGAAGTTTAAGACTGACAACCAATCTAACTCTGTTTTCTCATTTGATACAGGCTTGTATGACTGTCTATGACATTCCTGACTTACTGGGAGGAAGGGGATGCTTAGGGTCTGTGGTCTTCTCAGAATCCTTTTTGACATCTCAGATCTTGGTTAAAGAAAAGGGTAAGTGTTTATAAAGTCTTCAGAAAGCAAAACTTTCAGTTTTTTTTTAACAAAACAAGTTATAGACACAGTTACATAGTTCATATGTATATTGTATTACAATATTATTGTATATTGTAATTGTATATAATGTACTGTTAATGTATTACTGTATTAACATTATCATCACATATATATTTGTGTGTGTATGTATATATATATGAATATATGCAGCCTTACTGTTAGGAAGAAGCAAAATGAGTAATTTTTGTTTATTTTGGCAAAATAAGTTACCTGGTTTCATAGTTCATATGGATATATAAATCATAATATATAATAATTATACATTATTATATATTGTAATTATATCATGTATTAATGTGTTGGTGTATAACATCATTGAAATAATAACTAGATCCTGTTTTTTAACCTTGCACTATCTTGATAAAAATTAAAAGTGTAGATAAAAAGGACAATTTAAATAGTTTAAATGTGTGTTTAAACTCTCCATTTAAATGTGTGTTTCTATTTGTTGTAAAAAAAAAAAAAAAGATAAAGTTAATCATACGGGGAAAACCTTTCTCCTTCCTCTCATTAGCCTCCCTGTCTCCAAGTAAGGAAGTTTTCAGTTTCTGAGGGCTCAAGATTTTTGTATACAAGTAAGAGGAGCCCTCATTCCTGAGAAAGGGAGGGGTGTAAATCGTTGGGCCTACAAGGTGGGCCTGGGTAGTGTGGGCAGTAACTGGCATGTTTGTGGTCTTCCTGCAGATGGCACTGTTACCACAGAAACCAGCTTCATAGTCCTGACAGCCGCCATACCCAGATTCTGCTCCTGGCTGGTTAGTGTCATTCATCCGATGGAAGTGGACTTAAATGTGGAAAAATCGGGGAGAACATTGAGGAAGAGCCTCTTCATTGGGTCCCTGGTGGGATGTCAGATCCTAAACTAGCTATTGTTTTTTTTTTTAAAAAAAATTTTATTTATTTATTTATTTATTTATTTATTTATTTATTTATTTATTTATTCATTCATTCATTCATTCATGAGAGAGAGAGAGAGAGAGAGAGAGAGAGAGAGAGAGGCAGAGATACAGGAGGAGGAAGAAGCAGGCTCCATGCCAGGAGCCCGATGTGGGAGTCGATCCCGGGACTCCAGGATCGCACCCTGGGCCAAAGGCAGGCGCTAAACCGCTGAGCCACCCAGGGATCCCCCTAGCTATTGTTCAGGGATGGAAATTTTTATCTCAGCTCTTTGTCTTTATACACACGAATCTAGTTTCTTTAACTCTGTTCTAATCTTGGAAAAGTGCCAAAAGAAACAAACTAAGTGTTTGGGTCCCTGTTAAATTATGAAAGGAAGAAATTAAACCTTCATTTTACAAGGACAGATGAGGACACTAAGGCTTAGAAATTGACCAGCCTGTTCAAAGTCACACAGATAATGAGCAGTAGCCCATGTGGCTCCCTTCTCTGGTCAGAATGATTGTTGCTGAGTTTTTACAGCAGAGGCTCTCTACATCTAGAAGGGTCCCATCTTCATCAGTGAGAGCTGGTCTAAAACTCTAGTGCCAGGGCCCTGAGTGGCTCAGTCAGTTAAGTGTCTGCCTTGAACTCAGATCATGATTCCAGGGTCCTGGGATCTAGCCCCGCAATTGGGCTCCCTGTTCAGCAGGGAGCCTGCTTCTCCCTCTCCCTCTGCCTGCTGCTCCCCCTGCTTGTGCTTGCTCTCTCTCTCTCTCTCTCTCTCTCTCTCTCTCTCTGTCAAATAAATAAATAAAATCTTTACATTAAAAAGAAAAAGAAAGAAAGAAGCTCTGGTGCCTTGGGACACACAAAGTATGACAGCAGAGAGTCTGGTAATGGTCTAAGTACCTATTTTAAAATCTGTTTATATTCTGTTTCTATAATTCTGACATGAATGAGAAAGAACAAGAATCATTCTCTGACATTAATACATTTAAATTAGAATACATTCAAAATATTTTAATATGCTCTCTTCCCTTTGTCCTTACAAATAGTTGTTTTTTTCTGAAGTGAAATATGGTGGAGACTAATATATCATTTCCACATCTTGTAGGCTCATTTAGCTGGGCCTCAGGTCCCAGGAAGAGAGTCTACCATGACCTTGGGCTCTGAGCCTTGATGACTGGTAGCCAGCCAGCTCTGCCAGCCATCAGGGCCTGATTACACAGGATTTGCTGGAGGGACTGCCCAGTCAGTCTTCTAGAAACACTGAACATGAGGGAGACCTAGTAGAGTTATGCCCTTGAAGTAGGAAACTGAAAATTTGCACTCCTTTTGGATACAGGTAGAAGATAATGAAATAAAATTGTCTGAGAAAACCCAACAAGCAGTGAAGGTAAGCAGCCTTCTTATCCTCAATGTCAACATTGTATCAAAATGAAATGTAAACAGTTTATGAAAATAATCTAGAATATTTCATTTTATGGCACATTTGAAGGATATGTTCCTCCTTGTCTCAATTCCTGTTTGCATTCTTCCTCTCCCAGCAAAGCTTTAGACGTAGCCATTTAATGGGGTACACAGAGGGATTCGTTCTGCCATGTTGGCCTTTTAGTGAGTTTCTTTTAAATCTGCCAGTACCATTAAAAGCAGATCTCAGATTGGCCTAGACATACAGAACTGAGAGGTCAGGGCTTTAGGCCAAAGAGAGTTGCCTCCACTGGCTAGACCAAATTCACTGGAACATGAACAAGCATAGTAGGCTTTGGTACCTGGACTCAGAGAGGACCTTACACATTCTTTTCCTTGGCACAAGTTAAAAATGCCAGTAACGTGACAAAGCTAGGCAATGACAAAGGAATGAAAGAAGTTAGGTCTATTTGAGGCTAACCTAGCAGCTTTTATAGACAGACAAAAGGGCAGGTACTTTTGATTCTGAAAGTTCATGGTATAAATCATATGCTCTTTGTGACTGGTTGTTTTTAAAGGGGGATGCCTGTTTCCTGGGGACTTTTCTAACAGGAGGAGAAGGAGCATATCTTTATTCCAGCAATCCACATTCCTGGCCTGACGAAGGTGAGCCAGCTATTATTTTTCTTGATTGTGTCTGGGTCCCTCTTTTGCATGTATTGGCATGAATGTTGTGATTAGTGAAACATCTGATATTTGAAAAGACTTGTTGGTATAGAAGTGTTTTCTTACAGCTTTTCTCTTTATCCACCCATTTTGCAGATGAGGAAACTTGTGCTAGGAAGGCATGACCCCAGAACCACAGTCTGGTCCTCTTGTTGCCAGCTGAGGATTGTTCTCAGAATAGGCTAGAGTAGTGGCATGTCCAGAAATAGAATCTGTGGATCTAAACAAGTCTGGATTCATTTTTCTTTTTCTTTCTTAAGATTTTATTTATTCATGATAGACACAGAGAGAGAGAGAGGCAGAGACACATGTAGGCTCCATGCAGGGAGCCTGATGCAGGACTCCATTCCTGGACCCCAGGATCACACCCTGGGCCAAAGGCAGGCGCTAAACCACTGAGCCACCCAGGAATCCCCTGGATTCATTTTTCTATTGCTGTATAATAAATTGCCACAAATTTAATAGCTTAAAACAACACATAATTATTATCTCACAGTTCTGTAGGTCAGAAGTCCAAGTAGACTTGGCTGGATTTGTGTTAGGGACTCTGAAGTTAAGGCATCAGTCAGACTAGGCTCTTGTCTGGAGACTCTGGAGAAGAATTCACTCCCAGGCTCACTTAGACTATCAGCAGAATTCAATTCCTTCGGATTGTAGGAATGAGGTCCCCATCTTGTTGCTAGCTATCAGCCAGGACCATGCTTAGCTACCTCTCCCAAAAATCTCTGCCCTGTGACAGCCCTCCTCCATCTCAGCATTGAAAACCTCTCTTGTGTTGTTGCATCTATCTTACCCTTCCAATCTGTATAAATTTCTTCTCTATACCAGCCAGAGAAAATTCTGCCTATGAAGAACTGCTTGTGATTAGAGGAAGCCCACTCAAATAATGTCCATTTTGCCATATAATATTAATTGAACACAGGAGTAACATCAGGAGATGAAGATCATGGGAGCCATCCTAAATTTCTGCCTATCACAGTCTAGCCTCTGGCCTCACATTCATGTCCCTCCCACATGCAAAATACAATCAACCTTTCCTAAGGGCTCCATCTCATTATGATAACAGTTCAAAGTCCTAAATCCCACTAGCTCAAAAATCCAAAATCTCATCAAGATTATCTAAACCAGATGTAGATAAGGCTCTGGTTTTTAATCTATTAAGTGTAGTTCCTAAACTTGTACTGTAGCTGTGGCCTTGTGACACTAATCAGATAAGTTATCTGCCCTGCCCTCCCAACACTCAGGGTACCACTGGCATAGGATAATAGTTGTAGATCTTCAACTTCAGAAGAGGGAGAAAGGAAAATAAAAAGGAGTCATCAGCCTGAGGTAGCTTTAAAATCCAGCTGGGCAAACTCCAGAGTCTGGATTAGGTTTCAAGACCTGGGAATAGTCCTCCATGGCTCTTACCTCTGCCACCTGGGCTCTTGATTTCACCTTCTAAACATTTAGTTTTCCCTTCCAAGCTTGTGGCTACACCTCATCCATCCTTCCTTTTTCACAAAGGTGGCACTGTGTACGTGAGTTTTATCAGCCTACTTCTTGCCAGTAGCATTTGGGGGTCCAGTAATCCCCTTTGATTTCATGCTCTTTGTGTCTCTTTCAGTCCAAGCTGGCAATGTTCTGTTGACCTAAGATTCTCAAAAGCCTTGTTGGTTTTGCATGGATTTCGTGGGGATTCATTCCATGCTCCTTTTTGGTTTCCTCAAAATAATTTTCTTAGGAGTCCTGTTTCTTTTCCTGGTTGATATAGCCATTTTGTGAAGAAAGAGTTGCGACTTAACTCCACAAATTTTTCAGCCTCTACTGAACAGTCTCCTTTCTGGATAATTTGTTTTTCTTGAAAATATTCTGTCTGGTAGCAGGTTCCTTTCCCTGTTATCAGATCACTGGTTCAGCTTCTGCTCCTCCGTTCACATAGGAGACAAAGCACAAGAAGTCTTGGTTCTCCACAAAATGCTGAGGTGTAGTAAGTAATGCATTTGTTACTGTGCCTGTGCTACAGCCCCTACGTTTGTGCCTGTGTGATCCTGGTGCAGAAGACCAAAATTAGGAACACTTGTTGAGGGCAGGGAGTATGTGACAGTACTACTAGTGTTGGGGCAAGATTGCCTGGTGTTTCAGAAGCAGGTTGTAGAAGCAACAGAGGTGATTGTGCTCTGTCATAGTTGAGCCAATTATAATATTTAGCAAGGATATTTGCCAAAATTAGTTTGTGCTTTCTTAGCAAAGGGCCTTATTAGAAAAGTAATCTTATGCTATATTGAGTTATCCAGCAAGATTCAGTGTATCCTGAGGTCTCTACACAAAGGGGACATCCAGGGATTTCTGGAGTCCTGTTCATCCCATTCGTCCCATTCTATTGAGAGCATGCCCTTAGTTCCTGGGGGAAATGTAGTTTGAATTAGGAGGTGGTTTTCTGAGGCAGGAAAATTAAGTAGGAACAGAGAATTTAAACAGAAATCTCCTCTGGCTATCTGTTAAGCTTTTTGCCACTTTGGAGCTCAGGTCAAGTGGGGCTTAAAGTTTATACCACTTAAGGCTCTTTCAAGGAAAAATAACACTAAATAGGGCTCTTCTGAGGGCCTTGGAAGAGGGCTTGGGCAGGTGAGGGGTTCTGAAGCTTAAGTGTCATTAGTGTCTTGATAAATCTGTCTCTGCTTGACACTATGATGAGCTTGAAATTTATCTGTTCCCATTCCTTAAAGGCATTTAAAAAGCTCTTCAGCATGCATTATCTTAATTGAGCTTCATGTCCTAAGACCCAAAGGTGAAAACTTGCCTGAGGTTATAGTGCAAGTTCACAGTAGGTCTGGAGGGTAGTCCAAGTCTTCTGATTCTCAGTCCAGGGTTGGCACAACATGTAGATAGAGAATAGAACTTCCTTTACTTTGAAATGCTTCCAGCTCTGGAATTTTTTTCCTTCCCCAGTTAGTGATTTCTGCTATCACAGGATTTCTTGCTATTCAGCTTCCTATTCATTTATGTCCTTCATGTGCCCTTCTCTTCCTCACCCTGCTGACCTTGGTCAAGCAGTCTGCCCAGCCCCAGATCCTCAGGAGCCCACTTTAGAGTTTTACCACATATGCCTATATCCCTAAACAATGTCTTGTTTTTGAGTACAAATATAATCACACTGTGTTCTTTAGGGACATGCTTTCTTTTTTGCTTCCTATTCTATTCCTAAGATTCATCCAGATTGTTGTGGATAGCCATATAGTTCATTCACTTGCATGGCTCCATGGGATTCCTTTGTATGAAAATGTAAAGTTTATTCTTTGGACATTGATGGACATTTGGAGTTTATTACAGACAGTCCTCTCATGAGCGTTCTTGTACATGTCTCCTGCTGCACATGGCACCAGGAAGATGCCTTAAAACACAGCTTTCTTGCTGTATAATAATTGACATCTGTTGTCTCAGTCTCCTGACTTTCCTGTTGCGTTCTGGCTCGTTGGACCAGCCAGCACTGATATCTCTGGCTAGTTGGTATGTTGACATTCCCTGAATATTTACCCCTTTGATTGCTGTCGTTTTTTGACATCCCTGTGTATAGAATTTTCTGTGCTTTGCCTCAAACAAAGTCAATCCCTGTCCCTTGTAAGATCTTTGTACACCATGGAACTAAAGGGGAGGTCATGCGAATTAGCCCCTGGCTGAAACACCACAGATTTCCACTGCTGTCACCAGTCTTCCATAGAATTTCTCAAATAGATTTCTCAGTTTTGTTGTGCAACTTTGGTCCATTACCAGAGTCCTTAAATAGTTGTCTTAACAATTAGACCAGTTTCATCACTATTTTATGTGGAGAGGATCTGCCAGAATCTTCACAGTCATTTCAGAAGTCCCACCCCTCAGTGGTTTTGAAAGGTATTTTCACTTGGTAAAAATTCTAGGTCGGTAGTTTTTTCTTTCTTTCTTTCTTTTTTTTTTTTTTTAAGTAAGCTCTATGCCCAGTGTGGGACTTGAACTCACAATCCCAAGATCAAGAGTTGCTGACTGGGCCAGCCAGGCCTCCTGACAGTTTCCTTCTTTCTAGAAAGATGTTGCTCTGCTTTACTCTCTTGCTTGCACCAACCATTCCTGAGCAGAAATCCACTGCCATCCTTATCTGTGTTCCTTCTAATAAAGTTACTTTTTTTTTTTCTCTTCAGCTGCTTTTAAGATTTTCTTTCCTCCTTTTTTTTTTTTTTTTTTTTTAAGATTTTTAAAATTTGGAGATCCCTGGGTGACTCAGTGGTTGACTCCCGATCCCGGGACTCCAGGATCACACCCTGGGCTGAAGGCAGGCCCTAAACCGCTGAGCCACCCAGGGATCCCCAGGGAGAGAGAATCTCAAGCAGATTCTGCACTAAGCCACAGAGCCTAATGCAGAGCTTGATCTCAGGACCCTGAGATCATGACCTGAGCTGAAATCAAGCCACCCAAGCACCCTGATTTTCTTTCTTTCTATCACATATTTTAAGCAATTTTATTTTTATGAATTGATGTGTGTGTGTGTGTGTTTTAACATGTTCCTTGTGCTTGGAATTCATTTTGCTTCTTCAATGGATGGATTTAGTTTTCCTCAAATTGGGAGTATTTTTGGCCTTTTTTTTTTTTTTTTTTTTTTTTTTTTAGTTTTTGCACTCCTATTTTGGGGCTCCAGTCACGTATCTTTGCTACCTAGAATTATCCCACAGCCCCTTTTTGCTCTGTACAATTATTTTCATTCTTTTTTCTCTTTGTGTTTCATTTTGCATAGTTGTATGTATGCTAATTTACTAACCTTTTCTGCATTGTTGTTATGAATTTGTTAACATTTGTGAAATGGAGCACAGGGTATTGAATGGTGAGCCAAGTTCAACAAAAGACCATGAAAGAAATTGAAATAGAAAATTTTATTCGTCACAAGTCCTGGAGGAAGTACACGGCAATGGCATGCGTTATGCCTGCAGGGCACACAGGAAGGTCAAAGCAGAGTGCAGACAGAGAGTGGCAGGATCTGGGGCACATGCCTTTATTAGCGTTTGTGGGTAGAATGGTTCAGGTTTCTCAGGCTAAGGCCAGATTGGTCAATTCAAACCAAAAGAGCAGGGTTTTGGTAAGCTCCACAGGGGTACACAAGGAGATGGCCCTAGGAAACAAGGGAGACTTGATCACAAGGGCTGTTGAGCTCATATCAGGAACTTACATCTTCTTGTGACTCTCTGCAGGTTGCTACATAGGGCTTGTCTGAGGGACCGTGTCATTTTAAGCACCACCACCACTCCCGCCCCCTAGGCCACTTGGCCAAACAAAAGATATGCCAGGGCAGCAATACCTTGGAGTAGCTTAGCTAAACTTTCACAACTGTCTAATGTCGTTAATCTCATTCAGTGTATTTTTCTTCTCAGACATAGTGTTTTTCATCTCTAGAAGTTGATTTAGAGATCTTTTACATCTTTCATGTCTCAAGTTAACATGGTTCAGTCTTCTAGCTTTTTGAATATATGGGATACAGTTATAATAATTGTTTTAATATGTTTTTCTTCTAGTTTTATCATATGGCCTTGCTTTTAAGCTTTGTTAGCCTGGAGACAGAATAGCATTTAATTTAGGGCTAATTTTACCCCACTGCTGAGGCAGAATCCTTCTGAGTACTCTACCTGACATGTCTGTGAAGTGTGAGGTTTTCTACTGTGGCTGGTGCAAATGGGCAGAAAGTCTCATTCAAGGTATGGGTTGAGGTTCATTGTTTTATGTAGGAATATCCAGTTTTTCCGGTACCATGTATTGAAAAGACTTTCCTTTTTCTTTGATCTGTTAGTACACCTTTGTTGAATATCAGTTGACTGTGTATTTACCATTTCCTGCAGGCCTCCATGAATGTTTGGCACTCAGGCAGCTCCTTCATTGTCCCTGTAGTGATTTACAATTTGTGGAGTGTTTTTTTCCATTGGGCAGAGATTATTCAGCAGTGAGGAACAGGGACACTGGTCCCATTGACACATGGGGCAGTGGACACATCCTGAGAACTCCGGTAACCATGCTGAGTCCCACCTTCTTATGATGGGAAGGCCCAGGCAGTGGTCATCTGCTGTCTGCTGACTTCATGCTCAACCCTCTTGTGTATTCCCTTGTGTCCACATGAAGTTTGTCAGGGACATTTTAGAAGAGAAAGTCCTCTGCAGCCCTGAATGTGAATGAATTATTCAGCTACATATTATCTACAGTGCATGGATGACTCGGGATCAGATGTCAAGAGTAGTGAGCAAGTTACAGAAGGACATGTGTATTAAGATTCTATTATACAAAAGCAAAACAGGCAGCCTGGGTGGCTCAGCGGTTTAGCGCCACCTTCAGCCCAGGGTGTGATCTTGGAGACCTGGGATCGAGTCCCATGTCGGGCTTCCTGCGTGGAGCCTGCTCCTTCATCTGCCTGTGTCTCTGCCTGTGTCTCTGCCTCTCTCTCTCCATTCTGTCTCTATTCTCTCTCTTTCTCTGTGTGTGTGTGTGTGTGTGTGTGTGTGTGTCTTATGATAAATATAATCTTAAAAAAAAAAGCAAAACAGACAAGACCAAATAATATATAGTTTATAGATACATTGAAGTGTGGTAAAACTGTACAGAATTTGGGATGGGTCCCTCCGAGCAGAAGAGAGAAGGCCATTGAGGAAGGACATTTAGGAGGCTTCAGAGGGACTAGTAATGCTTGATTTCTTAGGCTGAGTGGTGAGTGTACAGGCATCGAGATTGTGTTGCTAGATTGTGTTGCTATTGTTTTTCTTTAATTTTTTTAAAGGATTTTATTGATTTATTCATGAGAGACACACAGAGAGAGAGAGAGGCAGAGGCACAGACAGAGGGAAAAGCAGGCTCCACTCAGGGAACCTGATGTGGGACCCCATCCTGGAACTCCAGGATCATGCCCTGGGCCAAAGGCAGGTGCTAAAGCGCTGAGCCACCCAGGCATCCCATTATTGTTTTTCTTTAAACCATATGTGTACATTTCACATATTGTCATATAGAATGAAAATTATCTAGCCATTGCATCATATTTCCCTAGCAGTGATAAATGTTCCCTCTTCACACAGGCTGGACCATTGGAGGAGCTTTATTTGTACAGCCAGGTGTCTAAAGGAGGAAAACCAAATTCTTCATTAACACTTGGTATCTTGTTTTGCCCTGAGGTCTCATCCTTCTTTTGGACTCCTGGTGATGCAGAGGTCAATCAGAGACAGAACCATGCCTCAGTCCCTTGCTGCTTCTTGGATAGTGAGGGGGAACTTCGTCTTACCTTGGGTTTTTAGATTCACAGAACGGAGAAGGAATGACAGAGGCCTTTCAGTAAGGGCACCAGGGACAAGACAAGGAGCCAAGGAGATCTCCTCAAGAGTTAGCTACCTTGGTCACTGAGAAACCTCTGCAAAGGCACATCTCTTCAGACCAAAGTCTGACAGTCACGAATCCAGAGCAAATACTAGAAGTGTCATCACTTCAAGGGGATTAGGATCTAAGAGACCAGGTAACAGGTACTGGACACCCAGTGAGTCACTTCAGTTATTTCATGTGTGCTCTGAGGATAATGATAGTTACTGCTCCCAGAGTCAGGCTAATGGGTAGCTGTGACACAAGACAGCCTCTCTGCACCAGTAGTAAAATCAGCTTCCATTTATTGAGTTCCTGCCCTGGGCCATGCCCCATAATGAGTGCTTTTCCAGCAATGCCTTGTGAATTTCTGTCTTCCTCTTTTCCATTTTGTTTCAAGGCTTCAGAGTATATATAGAGAGGAAATGCTGGAGGTAACCTCTTTTATCTGTGCTCTTTTCTGGAAGCTTTGGAAGGATGTTGTCCAGGAGACATTTGAGTGGTATTTGACTTACTTCTGAGAAACTTCACGTTAGAGCTACACAGGTGGAGGGCGAGCCCAGGTCCTGGAAGGGTACAAGTAGCAAGCAGTAGGAGAGCAGTTCTTATCTCCTAATACCTATAGATCCCTCTTTTCTCTATAAACAGTAGGTAGAGTTATCTTGTGGCTGGAATTGATGAGGTCATTGTGTGAGAAGAGTGCTGAAAATCTTGGCTGGGCCCTGGGGAAGCTGGTGGAGGAGCTTAGACAGCAGAGGAGAGACTCCAGACAGCAGTGTAGGTCTCTTGAGGCTAAGAAGCAAAGAGAGCTAGTTGTCAGGCCATTTGGAGACGGCAAAGGGGGAGGAAACCAGGTAAGAACTCAAGGAGCCCAGATGCTACAGCACCTTGACCCCCTACAGACCTCTGCTCTGTACCTGGCTCCACCACGGGTAGTTCTGTGACCTTGGGAGAAACTTCTCTAAGCTTGAGTCTCCCCATCAGTCCTGAAGAAGATTACCTCTTTGAATTGTTGGAAAGATGGAAAACTATGATGTATATGACATGCATGGCACAATGGCAAAATCTGTTCCCGTCCCTTTCCCTGACAAAACAGAGATTAAAGCATGTCCCATCCTGATGTGGGTGAGAGGAAAATCAGCAATTTCTGAGCTATTGGGGAAAACTGGGGGACTGAGGCTTCAAAAGTTCAGTGATGTCAGAGGATGAGATCGGGGAATGAGATAGCTAAAAGGCTGATGAGATGCTGTAGTCCAAGAGTGGGTTCTAGAGCTGAAGATTTCAGAGATCATGATGTTCTGGATGCTGTTTTATTGCTGTAGCATTGGAATTGTCCCTACAATCTCCAGAGCTTTGGGGCTACCTTCCTAGAGCTACAGCTCAAGGAATCGGTCCCTCTTCTTTGTCTTCTGTCCTCTCCCTTAGCAGTTAAGATATTAATGATAGTATTCCCAAGCTTGTGCCTTGAGCTCCCAAGAATAATTTTCTCTCTTCTACAGATGTGAAAACAAAGAAAGGCTGTTAGAAGAATGGAAAGGATATAGCTTGGACCAGCTCCAGAGAACAGCTTTACCCAAGAGTCTTACGGGGGCTCTGGGTGCTTCATTTAAGCCTCCAAAGCAAGCCTAGTCTTAACACTTCTCATCTTAACTATCCATCCTTTCTTTGGTCTGCCCCCTAGGGCCCCTAACAAGCTATTCTGTATAACCTTGGCCACCTAGGAAAAACAGCTCTCCTTAGACCTGAATCTTTGAACTGAAGAACCCACAACCAGTGTCCACATCCCACCCATCTTGCTTTTGTGAATGTAGAGGAGCAGGCCTCCAGTGTCTACAGAATCCCCTTATTGCCTAACTCAGATGTTCCTTTGCTGGCTACATAGACCCTTAGGTCTCCTCATCAGTCCTTCAGCTGAGATGCTAGTGCTCTTTGCTGGGCTTTAGGTTAGGGATGTGGTATCGTTATAGCCAAGGCACCTTCTGCCAAAATAGGACGAAGGAGAGTCTATAAACTCAGTGGTGGAGCAGACATACCCAGAGTCTTTTTCAGTGTGTTTCCCTGGAAGACAACCAAAAGTGAATGTGAATTTTGCCTCTCCCACAGCAGATGGTAACTTATTCACTTGTTTTTTTTGTTGTTGTTGTTTTGTTTTTTAATTCTTAATGCAGACTCTGATGCCTCATTTCTCTCTGAAACTCTGGGAGTGTACATTAGCTTCCCCAGAGCACAAGACTCAGCATAAAAATTGTGTAACTTAAGCATCACAAATACGAGGCTCCAGTCACCAGTGTTGTGTGCCCTGGTACCTACAAAGACACTGAGATCTGGCCCCTAGAATCCAGCCCTCCAGCTCTGACCGCCTCTCTTTTCCTTCCAGGGAAAGTGCACTTCTTCTCTAGTGGTCTTCTGTTTTTTCACCGTCATCACGGAAGTATCATCCTTTCCAAGGATCACATGAATTCCATTTCGTTCTATGATGGGGTAGGTGTTTTACCAGTCCATGGCTTTGACATTCAGAAGAATACTCACACCTCTGACGTGAAAACCAAGTAACTCCCTGTCCCTCCTTCACCACCATGGGTAGGGTGTCAGGAATCAGCATTGCTCTTGAGGCAGGCAAGCAGGGAGTTCCTGGAGAGGCTTGTCTGCTTGTCACCTTCACTGCTCCATTAAGGACTTATCTAGAGGGATCCCTGGGTGGCGCAGTGGTTTAGCGCCTGCCTTTGGCCCAGGGCGCAATCCTGGAGACTCGGGATTGAATCCCACGTCAGGCTACCGGTGCATGGAGCCTGCTTCTCCCTCTGCCTATGTCTCTCTCTCTCTCTCTCTCTCTATCATAAATAAATAAAAATTAAAAAAAAAAAAAGGACTTAACTAGAAAAGACTTCTGGGTCAGGAGGGCCAACTGCTACCTATATCCAATTAACTCATCCCCAAAAGGACCAGAAAGTAGGCTAAAGAAGGCCTCAAATGACCCCCTTCACACCCAGGGACACAAAAGCTCACCCACTTAAGACTGGGAAACTGTTCCTCTAGCACTGATAGGACTCCACTTATCCATTAGCATGAGAAAGAATTATAAGTGAACCAGAGAGAAGAGAAATGGCTCACTTTCCCCTTGAGTTGAGGGCTCAGCCCCACCCACTGACACACTCAGACTTCCCCTCTACCTCTGTGAAAGTTCTACCCCCAGAACCATCCTTTAACTTCATCAGTTTATTTAACACTTTTCCCTTCCCTCGCAAGGAAGAAAGCAGCTATGGTTCTCCCTAGGCTGTACCTCTTGGCCAAGGCACAGCTCATCTCTCAGTATGACATCAAGAGTGGAGGGCAGGCCCTCTAACTCTGGTTTCAGCCTCAAAACCAGCCTGTTTGTGAGCCAAGACAGAGAGACTAGATAAGGTGGTTTGGTCAGATGGCTCCGAAAATAAGTTCTGTGAACAATTCAGAGAAAATTTTTTTCTTCCACATATAACCTACCACCTTAAAGGGTGTACAGAAATGCAAGCAGGCCAACAAGACAGAAACCATGGCCTTATTAGTGAAAACTCTGATGAGGGAAGAAAAGGTGAATCATTCAAGTTCTGGGCCAGTAAGTTAGCTAATTTGGGGCGGGGGGAATGGATTCCTACCTCATAATCAAAAATCAAAATTAACTTCTGATAGATTAAAATTAAATATTTTTAAATTTTGCAAGAAGAAAGAGGAATATAAGAATATAAAATGAATATATATTAAACTTCCAGGGACAAGAAGACTCTGTAAGCTTAGAAATGATATAAGAAATTCTGAAGGAAAAGTCAGATTTGACCACTTAAGGATTTAAAAAATTGGGACGCCTAGGTGGCTCAGTGGTTGAGCATTTGCCTTTAGTTCAGGTCATGATCCTGGGGTCCTGGGATCAAGTCCCACATGGGGCTCTCTGAGGGGAGCCTGCCTCTCCTTCTGCCTATGTCCCTGCTTCTCTCTCTGTGTCTCTCATGAATAAATAAATAAAATCTTAAAAATAAAAAAAAAGATTTTAAAAACTTTGCCAAAAATTTAACTTATTGACGTGTACTTTGTATACAATTAACTATGCCCATTTAAAGTTTTGACAGAATGTATACACTCATGAAACCACTGTTATAATTAAAAACAGACAACTTTCATCACCCCTAAAGTTTTCTTTTTTTCTTTTTTTATTTTTTAAATTTCTTTTTTTTAAATTTTTATTTATTTATTTATGATAGTCACAGAGAGAAAGAGGCAGAGACACAGGCAGAGGGAGAAGCAGGCTCCATGCATCGGGAGCCTGATGTGGGACTCGATCCCGGGTCTCCAGGATCGCGCCCTGGGCCAAAGGCAGGCGCCAAACCGCTGCGCCACCCAGGGATCCCAAGTTTTCTTTTTTTAAAATATTTTATTTATTTTTTCATGAGAGACACAAGAGGGAGAGGCAGAAACATAGGTAGAGGGAGAAGCAGGCTCCCTGTGGGGAGCCGAATGTGGGACCTGATCCCAGGACCCTGGGATTACGCCTTGAGCTGAAGGCAGAAGCTCAACCACTGAACCACCCAGGTACCTCAGCCCTAAAATTTTTTAATACCCTTTTGCAGTTCCTCCTTCCGTCCACTTCTGGCTTTCTGTTACTAGATCAGTTTGCAGTTCTAAAATGTTATATAAATGGGGGTGCCTGGATGGCTCAGTCAGTTAAGCATCTGACTCTTGATTTTGGCTCCGGTCATGATCTCAAGGTGCTGGAATGGAATCCTGTGTTGGGTTCCACAATCAGCGGGGAGTCCGCTTGCAGATTTTCTCCCTCTCCCTTGAACCCGCCCCGTGCTTTCACATGTGCTTGCTCTTTCTCTCAAATGAATAAATAAATCTTGAAGTAAAATGAAGTTATATAAATGGGCATCATACATTCTATACCCTTTTAAGTCTGTCATTTTTCACTCAGTATAATGATTTTTAGATTCATCCATGTCATTTGTATCAAAAGTCTGCTCCTTTTCATTGCTGAGTAGTATTCCATTGTTTGGATATAGCATAAAATTTATCAAACTAATTTTTTTTTAAGATTTTATTTACTTATTCATGAGAGACCCACAGAGAGCGAGGCAGAGACAAAGGCAGAGGGAGAGGTAGGTTCTTCGGGGAGCCTGATACAGGACTCGATCCCAGGACTCTGGGATCATGCCCTGAGCTGAAAGCAAACGCTCAACCACTGAGCCACCCAGGTGTCCCTATCAAACTAATTTATAATTTGAAACTCTAAAACGTCAAAGAATTTATTAAAAAGCAAAAAAAAAATAAACTGGATAAAGCATTTTTGGTGATTAAAACAAATGAGTTAATATTTCTTTTCCATGAAGAACTCTGTCTTTATTAACATGAGACTAGTTAACAGATATATGGAAGTATATCAGAGACAGCCTCTCACTACTATATATAACAATAAATTGGCAAAAAGTCAATGAAAAAGGTCCTGTTGGCAAGGAGAAATGTAATATGAATTTCCAGCCATAGAGGAGGCTTTAGAGTAATGTAAGATACAATCTTTGAAAAATTTTACTGATAGTTTGTAGCAAGTTGGCAGATGCTGATACCACTGATCAGTTTTGACAGAATGTATACTCTCATGAAACCACTGTTATAATTAAAAACAGACAACTTAAAAAAAAAAAAAAGACAACTTTCATCACCCCTAAAGTTTTTTTTTAATTTTTATTTATTTATTTATTTATTTATTTTTTCATTTATGATAGTCATACAGAGAGAGAGAGAGAGAGAGAGAGAGAGAGAGGCAGAGACATAGGCAGAGGGAGAAGCAAGCTCCATGCACTGGGAGCCTGATGTGGGACTCAATCCCGGGTCTCCAGGATCGTGCCCCAGGCCAAAGGCAGGTGCCAAACCGCTGCACCACCCAGGGATCCCTAAAGTTTTCTTTTTTTAAAGATTTTATTTGGGATCCCTGGGTGGCTCAGCGGTTCAGTGCCGCCTTCAGCCCAGGGCCTGAACCTGGAGTCCCGGGATCAAGTCCCACATCAGGCTCCCTGCATGGAGCGTGCTTCTCCCTCTGCCTGTGTCTCTGCCTCTCTCTCTCTCTCTCTCTCTCTCTCTCTCTCTCTCTCTCTGTCTCTCATGAATAAATAAATAAAATCTTTTTTAAAAGATTTTAAAAGAGAGCAAGAGAGAGAGATCACAAGCAGTGGAGTGAGGGGCAGAGGGAGAAGTAGACTCTCTGCTGAGCAGGGAGCCTGATTCAGGGCTCGATCCCAGGATTCCAGGATCATGACCTTAGCCGAAGGCAGATACTTAACTGAGCCACCCAAGGGCCCCCATTTTTGCCATTTCTATTCAATATAGTATTGGAAGTTATAGCTAGAGCAATTAGGCAAGAAAAAGAATCAGAAGGCATCTAAATTGGAAGGGAAGAAGTTCTCTCTTCACAGATGACATGATCTTACATGTAGAAAACCCTAAAGATTCCACACAACAAAACTGCTAGAATTAATTAAATGATTTCACCAAAGTTGCAGGATACAAAATTGACACAATAAAATCAGTTGCACCCTAGCATTGGCCAATCTGAAAAAGTAAGAAAACAATTCCATTTACACTAACACCAAAAAGAATAAATTACTTAAGAATAAATTTAACCAAAGAGGTGAAAGACTTGCGCACTAAAAACTACAAAAAAAAAACTTCTAGAGAAGTTCTAGATAAATGGAAAGACACCCCATGTTCATAGATAGAAAGACTTAACATTGTTAAGACCACAATTCTATCCAAAGCAGTCTACAGATTCAGTGCAATTCCTATCAAAGTTCAGTGGTATTTTTTACAGAAATAGAAAAATCCATTTTGAAATTCATATGGAATCTCATGGTATCCCCAAATAATCAAAATAATCTTAAAAAAGAATAAAGTTAGAAGATTCACACTTTCTGATTTCAAAACTTACTACAAAGCTACAGTAATTAAACAATAGTGTGGTATTGGCATAAAGTCAGACGTATAGACCAATGTAATAGATCAGAAATAAACGTTCACCTGTGTAGCCAAATGATTTTCTACAAGGGTGCCACGGCCGTTCAATGGGGAAAGGGCAGTCTTTTCAACAAATGTGCTAGGAAAATTAGACATCCACATGGAAAAGAATGAAGTTAGATCCTTACTTTATGCCATATAAAAAAAATTAACTCAAAAAAAAAATTAACTCAACATGCAGCATAGGCTTAAATGTAAGAGCCAACGCTATTAAACTCTTAGAAGAAAACATAGAAATAAAGTCCTCGTGACCTTGAAGTAGGCAGTGATTTCTTGGATATGACACCAAAATACAACAAAAGAAAAAATATATAAAAACTTATGTGCATCAAAGTACACTATCAAGAAAGTGAAAACAGGGTACCTGGGCAGCTTAGTTGGTTAAGTGTCTGCCTTCGGTTCAGGTCATGATCCCAGGGTCCTGGGATGAAGTTCTGCATCAGGTCTCTGCTCATCAGCAAGTTGACTTCTCCCTCTCCTTCTGTGATCTCTTTCACTCTCACTCTCTCTCAAATCAATTAATTATTTTTTTAAATAAGGAAGTGAAAACAAACCCACAAAATGGGAGAAAATATTTACAAATCATGGTTCATCTGGCCGGCTTGGTAGAGCATGTGAGTCTTGATTCTGGGGTCATGAGTTCAAGCCTCACATTGGGTATAGAGCCTACTTTTTAAAAGAATCCTGGGCAAAAGAAAAAAAAAAAGAAAAGAAAAGAATCGTGGGCAGCCTGGGTGGCTCAGCAGTTTAGCGCCGCCTGCAGCCCAGGGCGTGATCCTGGAGACCCAGGATCCAGTCCCACGTCAGGTTCCCTGCATGGAACCTGCTTCTCCCTCTGCCTGTGTGTCTTCCCCTCTCATGAATAAATAAATAAAATCTTTAAAAAAAAAAAAAAAGAATCCTGTATCAGGGCACCTGGGTGGCTCAGCATTTGGACACCCAGTTTGACTTTGGTTCAGGTCATGATCTCAGGGTTGTGAGATCGAGCCCCGCATTGGTCTCTGTGCTTGGTGGGGGTCTCCTTGAGATTCTCTCTCTCCCTCTTTTTTCTTCCCCCACCCCCCACCATTAAAGTAAAAAAAATTTTTTTTAAGATTTTTTAAATTTATTTATTCATTCAGAGAGAGCGAGAGAGAGAGACAGAGGGAGAAGCAGGCTCCATGCAGGAAGCCTGATGTGGGACTCGATCCCGGGTCTCCAGGATCACACTCCGGGCTGCAGGCAGCGCTAAACCGCTGTGCCACCAGGGCTACCCAAATTTTAAAAAAATATATATCTGATTAGGGATAGGGATTGATACCATAGAAAAAATTTTGAGATGACTTTTTCAGTTTAGTAGAAAAGACCCTTGCACTTCCTGTATCTCCCCTAACTGGGTATTGGAAAGCACATCTATCACTGGACCCCAGTAAACCACTTAATGTGAAATAAATTACAGTGAAATTCACCACATGTGTTCTGACAGTGTTGTGAGGGTTAGTGTCATGCAAATGATTTTTCTCACTGATGCTCCATCTTTTTCTCTTCAGGATTCCACAAGTGTTGTTGCTGTCCTTCTGATAGACTTCAAAAGCTCATTGCTTCCTCATCTCCCAGTTCATTTCCGTGGATCAAGCAATTTTCTGATGATTGCCCTTTTCCCCAAATCAAAGATATACCAAGCATTTTACTCAGAGGTAACACCAATCATCAGCAAAACAAACACTACTTTTTTTTCCCTTAGGAGTTTCGATGGTAAGGCCACATCTCAGGGCCAGCAATGAAGTGATGAGAGGTAGAACTGGGAGGGCTGGTAGAGGTGGCTGCTTCTAATCCCCTTGGGTCCTGGAATGGTGCTTTTGTTATCTCTCATTTGAGAGATGAGAACCTAAAGGAACTTAACAAAAGGCTTTTTAGCTGCTAAGACAAATATTTGTCCTTTTAAATCCTAATTAGACACCTTTTTCTTTTAGCTACTTTATTGAATTATTTGGCCCTATCTGCTGGATCAGAGCTCTCTACCCTACCCTGGTCTCTCCCTTCCCATGGTTTACAGGCCCTCCCCTTGTTAATGGGCCCACCTGGCAGGCTGCATGTTATAGGCAATTCCATACAGATTGCATAAGTGAGGGAGCTTACCAAGAATTATACAACCCACTTGGAGACCAAGCAATAGCCAAAGTTAAACAGATGGCCAGCCTCATGACTGCTGGCAGTGCTCAGAAAGATCTGATTACAGCAGCTTGTGAGGAGACAGTGTCCCTCTCTCAGGCCAGATTGATGGAACACGGAAGAGAGAATAACTGGCCTGGCTACAGAATGGCATCTCAGGCTAGGCCTTGTCTCCTTCTTATTGCCTGCTGGTCCTTTCTACCTTTATGTGCTTATCCTTTCAATCCAGGAGCACATAGAGACAGCCCTTTAGATTCTCTTCAGTCATCCCTCTGCCCCTAGGCAGGACTTGTGTGAACTGCTCCTTCTGGTCTTGTCCCCAGGGAAGAACATGCCTCTGCTTCCAGAACAGTGTTACCTGACACCTTTCTCCGTGCTTCCTGGCCTCTAAAGAAGCAAAATCCCTAGGAGAGGAACCCAGAAAGAAATTCTAGTTTTGAAAAATACAGAACAAAATTGCTTCAGGCCTCTATTTTTGAAACAAACTTGTTTGTTATGACGGTTTTTCTCTGTACTGACAGTCTAGATTTTCAACAACCATCAAATCCCCATGTGGATTCCATATCCTGTTGTTGGGTTTAAAGTGTTCTTTGCTCAAATTCTGTTTTGTTTAGGTCTTCTCCCCCTGGCAACAGCAGGCTAACTCAGGGCTGTCTTTAAAAGTGATCCAGGAAGATGGATTATCTGTGGAACAAAAGAGATTGTAAGTGGCTGCCTTCAGTGTTTATGCTTGTTTCCTTAAGCTGTGTGTGTTTGCTCTCTCTGCAGGACAACTTATGTAACACAGGGGTCTTGGCTTCTGAAAGGGCCAGCACAGTCATTTCAGTGCTGCCACTTGCAGGTAGCCAGTGACCTTGGGGAAATAGAAGTCAGGAGAGATGAAATTCACCAAGAATCAGAAACCCATAATATTACCAAGGGTTTCAGGTGAAACTTCCTCCGTGCACACACCAATCATCACATACTAATGCTGTATTGTATTTAAGTCAGTGAGATGCTTGTTTTGGAAGTGTTGACTCTGTCACGGGACCCTGGCTTGAAAGCATCAGAACAAGTTATGTAAAGTATGTATGCTATAGGGAGATGGAGTTGTAATCTGTGAACTTTTGATATTCCAGACACTCCAGTGCCCAGAAGCTCTTCAGTGTCCTGAGCCATTCTGCTGGGGAGAAACAGAGTCCTCTAAAACTACTCCCAGCCAAACTTCCAGAGCTAGACTGGTGAGCTCTGGTTTTCTATTTATAGGTATTTAATTTCTGGCTTTTGAAATGTCAGAAACCTCAGTGTTGGTACTTTCTAAGCTCCATTTTCTTCATAGCTTCTTAGGGATCAGCATAAAAGGTAGTAGTGACATACCATGTACAATTTTATTCTGTAGAGAGAATCTCTCTAAGGTTTCTTTTTTAGCAACAAAATGATGAGTTTCTCAGGTAAAGAACACATGCAGGCAAGGCTGGTGATGGTAACATAATAGCATTATCGTTGATTTTCTAGGTTTCTTCAGCATTTTGCCATCAGCAGCATTAGTCGGGAGCCAGTAATGAGAACCCATCTCCCTGTTCTGCTGCAGCAAGCTGAAATCAACCCTACTCACCAAGTAGAAAATGACAAGGTACAGCAGCTCAGCAAATATGCTGGGAATTCACAGGAAGATAATCCTAATAGGCTGCCCTTGGATCTTCTTTGTCAGTTTACAAAAAGAGCTCCGGTGGAATCCCTTTTGTAAGACTCTCCACCTCCTAAGATATTGGTAGAATAATACACATGAAACCTGCTCTATACAATGAGTATGTACAGGCGTCTGCAGTGTCCCAAGCCAAGCCCCTCAGCAGCCATAAAAGCCTGGCACCCCTGGCTGTGTCTCCCCTGGCTTCTCCATGTCTTTCAAATTCTTGCTCAGTGCTCTCATGCTGTCAGCTCTTTCTGTTTGTGACAAGGACTTACCTGGCAGGAGGTGACACACTGAAGTTAATAAGACGAGGAAGGGCCTTATTAGTTGGCCTTGCTGGCATCACTAGAGTAAGGTGATACTTCATAAACATTGTCTTCCCAAGAGTGGATTTTAATCCGCTCCCATCTCACATGCCTCTTCTCCTTACCCTTCCCACCATTTCTTCAGAACCAGATGTCATAAGATGCTCAGAGAGGGCATTTATTTATATGCAAACCTAGAAGACAGCTGCAAAAGATAATAGGAACACTGGGGTACCTGGGTGGCTGAGTGGTTGAGCGTCTGCTTTTGGCTCAGGGTCATGATCCCAGGATCCAGGGATCAAGTCCCGCACCAGGTTCCCTGCAGGGAGCCTGCTTTTCCCTCTGCCTATGTCTCTCCCTCTGTGTGTGTGTGTGTGTGTGTGTGTCCCTCATGAATCAATAAATAAAATCTTTAAAAAGAGAGATAATAGGAGCACTAAGCATGTAGAAGCCTTGATTTTCCCTTAGGCAAGAGTTTAAAAATGAAAACGTCTCCCAGTTGTATTTTATTAAAAGGGTGCTATAGAACTGATCTGAAAGTAAGGTATCTGGCTCTAAGCACAGGTGCTGTGATTTGAGAGGCAGGGGCCTGGGTGCTGAGGAATAGGAACCAAGGTAAGGAGGAGATAAAGAAAAAGTTTCAGGGATCCCTGGGTGGCCCAGCGGTTTAGTGCCTGCCTTCGGCCCAGGGTGTGATCCTGGAGACCCAGGATCGAGTCCAACGTCGGGCTCCCTGCAGGGAGCCTGCTTCTCCCTCTGCCTGTGTCTCTGCCTCTCTCTCTCTCTCTCTCATGAATAAATAAATAAAATCTTAAAAAAAAAAAAAAGTTGCATGGAGTATAGTCCAAAGAGGCAGAAAGGGACACAGAGTAGGGGCCTGGTTGGAGGGGAATAAGAAGAACTTCTGGTTCCCAGAAAAGAAGAGGGATCCTCAGCCATCTCTGTACTGAGGTGACTAGCTCAAGTGATGAGTGCCACCAAGCTGAGCTTTAGTCTGAGTTATCTGTGACCTGGCCTGTTCCTGGTGAGTCTTTTATATTGTGAAAGGAAACACATGCTTTGTCCTTTATGCCAATACCATTCAGGGATTGCAGGGTTCCTTCCCTCCCCTCCTCAACCCCTGTCAATACCATTCAGGGATTGCACAGTCCAATCTGCTCCTCTTCTGCTAGTCATGACTCAAGAGTGCTTCCTACACTCTGTTTCCTTAGGACAGATTGGGCAGCCAGATGGAAATATCCCCATGCCACTCCTCTCCTTTGCTGAGCTTACTTACCACACCAGTTTAGCCTGTGGCATTTTGTCTCAGACCTCCTTTCTGCCTAGTGTTTTCTGTTGTATTTTAACTGATCTAGTCAAACCTGCTCTGTGGAAATTGTATTAGTAACACTACATTGTATATGGTGTTTGCTATTCTAAGCACTTTACATATATTAACTCATTTAATCATCACACCCACTTTGCAAGATAGGTTCTGTTATTATATTAGCCCAAGGTCACATAGCTAGGAGAGTACTGGTGCTTAGTTTCAGACCCACGGAACCTGGCTCCAGAAATCAATTCTCTTAACTTTTCACACAATGCCATCTCACAGTTGAATGACAAACCCACATAACTTTTCTTTTTGTAGGTAATTATCAGCATTGTAACTGGCCTCCCAGGCTGTCATGCTAGCGAGCTCTGTGCTTTTCTGGTCACTCTGCATAAGGAATATGGCAGGTTAGTATGGCTGCTGCCTTTGCTTTGGGGAAAGGGATTCTTTGCCCGGGCCTCATAGGGACTGGGAAACCTTCAACATGTACTGGCTTTTGGTGTGATTGGTGTCAGCATAGTAGCCATCCATCCATTTAACATATTTGTGCGGAGCACTTCCTGTATGTCAGGCACTGTTCTAAGCGTAGGTGACAAATGAAACAAACGGACTAGAAAGTCTCTGCCCTTGTGGAGCTTACATTCTAGTTTGGGAATAGTATTAACCAGATAAGGAAAGTAGTATATTAGCTAGTGCAAAGTGCTATGGAGAAAACAACGCAGAAAAGAGAGTAGAGGGAGTGCCGAGCTGGGGGAGGGATTCCAGTTTTAAATTGGAGGCTCAGGGAACATCTCACTGAGAAGGGGACATTTGAGCAGAAGCCTGAGGAAGGGCAGCCCCAGTGGCTCAGGTTTAGCACCGCCTTCCGCCCAGGGCCTGATCCTGGAGACCCGGGATCAAGTCCCATGTCGGGCTCCCTGCATGGAGCCTACTTCTCCCTCTGCTTGTGTCTCTGCCTCTCTCTGTGTGTGTCTCACATGAATAAATAAATAAAATCTTAAAAAAAAAAAGAAGCCTGAGGAAATGAGTGAACCTTTGGAAATCTGGAGATGAGCACCGTAGAGCACTTTGCCAGCACAGGCAAAAGCCTGAGAGTGTGCCTAGTCAGCAGGGCAATTCAGGACCAGGGTGATTAGAACTTGGGAGCTGCTGGTGGATGTGATCTGTCCCTGACCACAAGGGGACTGCGTCAATTCCAGTGTAGCTAGGACATGTCGGCTTAGGGGAAATTGGGGAAATCATTTCATCCATCACTTTCATATGCCAGCAGATCATTAAACAACCCTGGCTAACTGAACAGACATTTATTTATTTATTTAGTTTTAATTTATTCATGAGAGACACAGAGAGAGGCAGAGACACAGGCAGAGGGAGAAGCAGGCTCCATGCAGGGAGCCCGACGTGGGACTCGACCCTGGGTCTCCAGGATCACGCCCCTGGCTGAAGGTGGCACCAAACCGCTGAGCCACCCGGGCTGCCCTGAACAGACATTTAATATCTAGTCAGTCTATCTTGAAGTAAGGCATCCTGCAGGAGGCTGTAAAGAATGGAGAAGGTGGAAATCACCTAGAAGTTTGAGAGTTCAGAGAAATTTGGGAGGCTGGACAGGTTTTAGATGCTAGGGAAATATTGGGCCTTATCTAAATACTAAGTAGCTAGACAATTCCTCCCTCATATCCATTGCTTTTGTTGTAGAAATAATCTGAATTCTTCACCCTTCTCACTTCTTAGCAAGAGTTTTACTGAGCACCAGACTGAAACCATTTTACTGGATAGTCCTTCAGGAAATGACTGCCTGGTCAGGGGTCTTTCTCCACTCCAAAGTCTGATTAATGGTCATGTGCTTAACCCCTGTGGCAAGGCATTTCCTATCAAAAGTTCCAGTGATAGTGGTTTCAAGATAATGGAGCTCCCCAGCCAGTGCTCTCCACCTTTTTCTGTGGTGCTAGGATTGCTTTCTCCTGTGCAGGTTTACTGGGCAGAATGTCTTTAGGACTTCTGGTCACATTTGTATCCACTGGCTGAGCCTGTGGGGCCAGGCCATCAGGTGGCCCCCACACTGAGATTATACTTGCCATTTCCAGGTGGATGGTATACCGCCAAATCATGGACAGCTCCGAATGTTTTCATGCTGCCCACTTTCAGAGATACCTTGCCAGTGTCCTGGAGGCCCAGCAGAACCGCTCTGCCCGCCAGTCAGCCTACATCCGCAAGAAGACCCGACTGCTGGTGATATTACAAGGGTGAGTACTAAAAGTCTTCTGCGGACAATGGGGTGTGATGATGATCTTGCCATTACTGTTATTTGTACACAGCTAGCCTGGGGCATAGACCAACCTCTACATGTTCATGATCAGAGTCTGCACCACCGAGAAAGACCTTAAACAAGTAAAGACTCTGGTTACTGTCTTGTGGCCCAGAGTGACTGCTATAGCTTGCACAGAAGTTTTAAGTTTGGTTTCAGGGCATCTGGGTGGCTCAGTCAGTTAAGTATCTAACTCTTGATTTTATCTCAGGTCATGATTTCAGGGCTATGAGATCAAGCTCCACATCAGGCTCCACGCTGGGCATGGAGCTTGCTTAAGATTCTCTCTCTCCCTCTCTCTCAACCTTCCCTCTCCTCTAAAAAATTAAATTAAATTAAAATTAAATTTGGTTTCAGTATTATGGTATCCCCAGAAGGTAGAGAACTAGAGAAGAGATTTTCAGGGCAAGATTTTTTGATAATTCTCATAACAACAGTAAACCCTAAGCCTCTTCCTTTGCCATCTGTTTTAGTACTTCCTCATGTGGAGTTGCAGAGACAGCCCCCACTCTGCAGTCTTGAGCCCCACCATCCCCAGGATGGCTGGTCCAGAAAGGTTTCTTGGGACCATCAGTGGGGAGCATAAATAGTCCAGCTGGGCGGGGGGGGGGCCTCCCTGTGAGGACAGGTTTGACAGAGTGAGTACTACTACTTTAGGGACCCTGACTGCAAGGAGCTTACCTTGATCTATTCTAAGGCCTTCCAGGGAGGAGCCCTGTGCAGGCCCACCACTTACCAGGCCCAGAGGAGAACATGCCAGGTCAGGAAACACAGGCTATGGTCTTCACAATGGCTAGTAATACTAAAGCTTTTGGCAGTTCTCACAAAGTGCTTTTATGCTATGCTGTGTTTTTTGTGCTTAGAATTACTATTTGCAATTGGCTAATTGTTTCCAGTAAAGAGTAGGCCCAGATCCAAAGCCCTATTGAGTCTCCTGGGTGGATGGTGAGAAGTGGAGAAAAGCCAGGCTGATGGTCCTGAGGCCACAGGTGGGCAGGACTGTGTACCCACCAGGCCATCATTTCTCTCTTTCAGTCCTTGGGCTTCCTTTCTCAGATCTTTTGTCCTGCTTATGGTCCAAGGTCATGGAAGCCACAGAGCAAGAGTCAAGGCTTGAAGCCACTTGTGTATGTATTGTCATTTTTAAAGTAGGCTCCATGCCCAGCTTAGAGCCCAACACGGGGCTTGAACTCACAACCCTGAGATCAAGACCTGGGCTGAAATCAAGAGTCAAATGTTCAACTGACTGAGCCACCCAGGCGCCCCAAAACCACTTGTTTTCTTCTCGTTTTCCACTGCTTCTAATGGTCAAAGGAATGGATCGGCCCCTGCTAGAGTTGAGTCATTAGGGATGTGGACCTAGAATCAAATTCAGCAGTTTGACATTGTATAGTTGAGGGCATCGCCATCTTCTGTCACTTGAGAGAGCATCATTGACTCCTTGTCTCTGACAATACTCATCTGCAAGTGTCAGATGCCTTGGCTGCTCTAGATTGCAGTGACAATGTGTGGCTAGCCCCATCTTGTACTCAGACCCAGCCTTGCCCAGTTGCAGTTCCAGGATGCTAGGGGACCTTAGACTTCCTGAAAGACTCAAGTGGAAATATCAGCTAAATGCTATGGCTCTCGCTAAGACTCCTTTTACAGGCTGGGCCCATTCTCTTGAGGCTCAGCAGGGAGCTCGTGGCAACCTCCTTTTTGCATCTCTTTGGGGCTGGACCTTTTTTTTTTTTTTTTTTTTTTTTAAGATTTTATTTATTTATTCATGATAGACACACAGAGAGAGACAGAGAGGCAGAGACACAGGCAGAGGGAGAAGCAGGCTCCATGCACCGGGAGCCCGACGTGGGACTCGATCCCGGGTCCCCAGGATCACGCCCCGGGCCAAAGGCAGGCGCCAAACCGCTGCGCCACCCAGGGATCCCGGGGCTGGACCTTTAAGCCCAGTATTCACAGGTTGCCGGTGAAGGGAGACTCCAGAGGCTTCTCCAGTTAAGAACTGTATTTCCTAAATGTGACTTTTATCTTCATTTATAGGATTCTTGGGGGAATGCTATGGTATAGAGGGCAGAGTTTTCTTTTGCCCCCAGAGTGTCCTGGTTCTGTTTGGCTTTCTGTAGCTGTAGCAGTTGAGCTTTAACATCCAGTGGAGTTGTTGTTTTTAAAATTAATCTATTTTGAAATGATAAAATTTTAGAAATAGAGGACATATTGGTGGTTGCCCAGAGTTAGGGATGGGAATGGGAGGCAGGAGGCATGGTTATAAAAGCAGCACAAGGGATCCTAGTGGTGTTTGAACTGTTCAGTGTCTTGACTGTGGTAGTAGATGTGGATATAGGAACCTATACAGGTAACAAAATTGTCTAGAATGTATGTGCAGGCATGCACACACACACAAAAAAAAAAAACCTGAAGAAATCTGAATTTTTAAAAATTAACTTTAAGGAATTTAAGGGATTGTATTTCTTTATACTCCAGAATGTTGTAAAATCATTCTTTAAATTATTTAAAACATTTAAAAACAAAGTCTCTCTCAAAACAAAAATTGAATTAATCTAAAACACATGCCCAAATTTTAGGCTTAGGTTGCAAACATAAAACAGAGGCCAAAGGACACCTGAATAGGATATCTGTTGTTTAAAAAGAAAGTTAAAGTCCTGCTGGGGTTTTGTTTTGGTTTTTGTTTTGCTTTTATTTTTAATAAAGAGAGAAATGACAAGAAAGAGGCAAACATGAAAAGCCAGGTTTTTTTGCCTTCATCATGCATTTGAGACAGTTCAGACACAAGTGATCAAGTACAAGCTCTGGTAGCTGGAGCAGTGTGCTTCCTTCTATAGTGAGGGCTGTTTCCTCCTGTTTGGAGGCCCGGGCCAGGATGATTATAGGGCAAGGGCTAGGGAGGGAGAAAGGGCCTAGCAGCCTCCCTCTCTTAGCAAGTATAGTGAATGACCCCGAGAGCCTCTTCTCTTGCCACAGCAGTTCCTGGTTGCAGTGCCTAGGTGCATCACCTACATAGCTGGTCTCACCAAAGACTTGGGGGCCTATTTTCTCTTTTCCATTAAATAGAATGCTCTGAAAACCCAGGAATTTTCTAGCCACTCTCTCTAAAGAATAACCCGTGGTATTAAAATGACCAAAATCTGCAGGACTGGTAAATCTTTCAGTTCTTTTCTTCCCTAAGAAATGAGTCTCTAGGCTCATACCAAACATAGAAAATGAGAAGCTTCCAAAATTTATTTTTAGAAGAGGAGGAAAGCTCATGCTTAGGAGCAAAGCTGGGGCACTTAACCAGGATAGTTAAATCTGGTAACATGACCACAAAGAGTTTGGGGCAGTATAGACATCATTCAGTCCTGCCTAACAACTGTGCATAAAGCCTGGCAGTGTAAGCAGTGCAGGGGCTCTACTGAATCCAGGCCCAATGAGACACTGCACAACCGAGAAAAGGAACCCCATGTTGCGATACACACCATGCCTAGGCAAGGAGAGAAACCAGGGAGCAGAGAGCTCATTCTAACAGCTCCCTGGGTGGCCCAGCAGTTTAGCACCTGCCTTTGGCCCAGGGTGCGTTCCTGGAGTCCCGGGATCGAGTCCCGCGATGGGCTCCCGGCATGGAGCCTGCTTCTCCCTCTGCCTGTGCCTCTGCCTCTCCCCCCCCCCATGTCTATCATGAATAAATAAATAAAATCTTAAAAAATAATAATAACAGCTCTCTGGCTGCTGGGCCCTCATGGGGGTGCTCTTGAAGTAGGCACACCCTATTCTTGATTGAAGCACTGCTAGTTGATCAGGACTGGGGCAGACCTGGGGGTTGGGATGTGAATATTGTAGTCTGGGGGAAAGCCAAGTACCATTTTGCAGATGAGTTATTTATAGGAACTCAGGAAATGGTTCAGGCAGGCTATACCTATCCCCCAAGCCACCACCACTAGCTTCCCAAGGGCCCAGGGTAGGACCCAGGCCCATATGATCAGCAAGGCTGCCTTTAGATTTGCCTTCCGTCCATAGGAACAGACCTTTTTAGTGATAGGCTAGATCAGTTGGGAAAATGTGCTCTACAAGGGAAAGAGTGGAGGCCCCTTCTTGGAGTGGCCATGGGTCTATCCAGGATTGAACATCCAGTTCATTCATCTGTCCTGCTCAGGCACCACAGATAATACCATTCAACAACCACTTTACATTATTACTGCAGAGACAGACTATGAACACATGAATGAGAAAATACAGTGTATGTAGCTGATGTTCAGTGCTATAGCGAAGGATTGGAGTGGGAGCAGGTTGTGCAGAAGGAGGGTTGCTATATCACATAGGCTATAGGAAGTCAAAGGATACCTCTCTCATTAGATGCCATTTGAGCAGAGACCTGAAGGAAGCAAGGGAGCAAGCCTGGCAGACATTTGAGGAAAAGAGCATCATAGGAGAGGGGACAGAGAGTTCGAGGGAGGAAGTATGCCTGGTATGTTCAGGGAAGAGCCAGGAGGTCACAGTGGGTAGATTCAGGTAAGGGAAGGAATAGTAGGAGGAGAAACTCCTTGCGATTTGGGAATCAGATCATGGACAGCTGTGGGGGCTTTAAAAGCTTTGATGCTGAGTGGGACCGAAGCCACTCACTCAGTGGCTTAGCACAGTGGGATTAGCACAATCTCTCTGGCTTCTCTGTTAAAAACAGGTTGGGCAGGGGCAGGAACAGAAGCCAATGAGGCCAGTGAGGAGGCTGTGGGGTGATCTGTACAAGAAATGATAACCGTTTGGATCCAGTAGTGGAGAATCTGAGCAGCAATCTCATTCTAGTTATATTTTGAAAATTGAGAAAAAATTAAGTCAGTGATGACTCCAAAGTTTTTGATCTAGCAGCTGAAAGAATGAGTCCCCTCTGCTGAGAAGGACAAGGCATTGGGAGGAATAGGCATGGGGAAATTGTATCATGAACATGTTAAGTTCTAAGAAAAAAAAATTTCTTTTTAAGATTTTATTTATTCATGAGACACAGAGAGAGAATCAGAGATATAGGCAGAGGGAGAAGCAGGCTCCCTGTGGGGAACCCAATGTGGGACTCCATCCCAGAACCAGGATCATGCCCTGAGCCGAAGGCAGACGCTCAACCACTGAGCCATCCAAGCGTCCCCTAACTAAAAATATTAAATTGGCTCTGGAAGTCTGGAATTCGGAGGAAGTTCCAGGCAGGAAATACAAATGCAGGTGGAGTGGGGCACCTGGATGCCTGAGTGTTGAGCATCTGCCTTTGGCTCAGGTCGTGATCCCAGGGTCCTGGGATTGAGTCCCGCATCAGACTCCCCTCGGGGAGCCTGCTTCTTCCTCTGCCTATGTCTCTGCCTCTATGTGTCTCTGGTGAATAAATAAATAAAATCTTAAAAAAAAAAAATGCAGGTGGGGTTTGACATGTGTCTGCCGACCTACAGGAGTGTATCATGGTCCCCATTTTTCTCTTGTCTGCATGTTCTATGAGGTAGAAAGAGAGAAAAAGATATTAAAGGAAATAAGCCAACAGAGGAGCTCCTAAATTGATTGGAAAACAGGCCTAAGGACACTACGTCCCATCCTTAGAGCACCAGGGTCATCTACAGGCTTCTCTTTATTCCTGGAAGTGGTGGGGGATTTTCCACTTAATTCTTGCAGAGTTAGGAGTGCTAATGAAGTTTGAGAATGCAAGAACATTGTAGAATGCAGGGAATGCAGGGAAGGGCTCTAAATCATTAAGTGGTTGACCCCAAGGAACCCAGTCACAGGCTCCTCCTTGTAGTTTTCCTTCCATGCTTGCCCAATTAGCCCCTCAGCATTCTGCAGTCACAGTCAATAAACCAATCTTTTTCTTTTTCCTCCCAGCTACACAGATGTCATTGATGTCGTCCAGGCCCTGCAGACCCATCCAGACTCCATCGTCAAGTCCTCCTTCATCATTGGTGCCATCACAGTGTGCGTGGAGCCCCTGAGCTGCTACATGGAACACAGGTACAAACTTTGGATCCTCTACAGCCCACAGGATGTGGTGGGTTTAAGTGTACAGAAAGTGATTTTCTTCCACCCACCGGAAGGAGACACATTTTTATGTGTGTTTGTGTTTTGGAACGTGTTAGTCTACCTATGTACAATGAATACTCAGTTGTTTGATTAGTGCTAGGTTCTCAGAAGACACCTATAGACCAAAGCCTCTCACCACTTTTCTTTGTGCACTGAAAAGTTGTCCATCTAGGCAGTGGGACTTGAAAGAACTTCTCCCAGAAAGAAAGAATGTTCATGACCACCTTTTCTTTCCCTCTTTACTACAGGGGGTATGCTTTGTTTCCCATGGTACTCAGAGTATCTCAGAGATAATTTTTCCTATGGTGAAGCTTTTTTTTTTTTTTTTTTTTTTCAGATTTATTTATTTGAGAGAGAGAAAGAGAGAGCATGAGCAGATGGAAGGGCAGAGGGAGAGGGGGAGAGAGAGAATCTTTTTTTTGTTGTTGAGGGAGAGAATCTTAAGATGACTTTCTGCTGAGGGGGGAGCCCACACAGGGCTTGATCCCACAACCCATGAGATCAAGAGTTGGCTGTTCAGCTGACTGAGCCATCCAGATACCCCTATGGTTAAGCCATCTTAAAGTTGTCTTACATCAGTTAATGACATTCATTCTCACTGCTAATAGGTGAGCATCTGCCTCTTGGTTTCAGCTCAGGTCATGATCTCAGAGTAATGAGATCCAGCCCTGTATTGGGCTCTGCACTCAGTGAGGTGTCTGCTTGAAAGATTCTCTCCCTTTGCTCCTTACCACACTCACATGCATGTGCTCTCTCTCTCAAATAAATAAATAAATCTTAAAAAAAAAAAAGAAAAGAAAAATGGGCAATAATATACCCATAATCTAACTCAGCATAGCTATTATCATTTTTGTGAATTCCTTGCCTTTTTTCTCCGCATTTTTTTACAGTTGTATACATATAATTTTATATCTTCCTTCTTAGATTAACATAAACATATTCAGTAACTTAACATATATGTATGTTCTAGTATCACTGTGGTAATTGCATTTTGATTAATTATGTAATTATATGTGTGGATGTACATGCTTAACAGTTTCCCTGCTGTTAGGCACATAGGTTGTCTCCAACTTTTCGCTATTATAAATAATGCTGTAGGAACATCTTTATCCATATAAATTTCAGATAATTTCCTTAGGAAAGGTTCTTCAAAGAGATACTAATTAATATGATAGTTTTATAACTTTAGTCGCATATGAAAAATTGCTTTTTGAGTGGGTTTCACAGTTTACACTGCCCCAGTGGTGTCTAGAAATATCTTTTTCATCATCAGAGCACTCCTCACTGGAGAGAGGTTCAAGCACTACATTGTCCCTTCACAGAGCTATTTGACTTCCTATCCCTTTAGCCCAGTGGAATATATCCAAGGTCTGTAATCATGTGGTCTTTCTGGCTAGTCCATATTACTGGTATCTCCTAGGAACTGATTGATCTACTCTTCAACCTTCCTCTGAAAGAGCTCCCTTTCTATTTGAGTCCCAAGGTGATATCTTTAGATTTCTCATATAAATTACACTAGAGGTCATTTCTCTTACCTCCTAGACTGATTTCAAGAAACATCTTCACCATTTCTCTTCTCTTTAGCTGTGACTTAGGTTCTGCTCTCCCATAAAAAAGCCAAGGTGGTGGGATGCCTGGATGGCTCAGCAGTTGAGCATCTGCCTTTGGCTCAGGGTGTGATCCCAGTTTGGTGATCGAGTCCCACATCGGGATCCCTGTAGGGAGCCTACTTCTCCCTCTGCCTGTATCTCTGCCTCTCTCTCTCTCTCTGTCTCTCATGAATAAATAAATAAAATCTTAAAAAAAAAAAAAAAGCCAAGGTGGTCTATTTTCCTTCTGTCTTAGGATAGGTTATTGTAGTGAATGTTGAGCATCAGCACTATACTTTGAACTGCCATATTGACTGTTATATGCCACTCTTTCTACCAGTCATATTTCTTTCCAAGTTTTTATTTAAAGATGAACTAAAGGGCACATGATTGACTCAGTCAGAGGAGCATGCACCTCTTGATCTCACGGTTATGAATTCAAGCCTCACATTAGGTGTAGAGATTACTTAAAAATAGAATCTTCTAAAAAAAAATAAAGACGAATTAAAACAGAAAGATGTTTAATGTGTAACTAGATACTAACATTTTTAAAAGGTAGGAAAAGATAGTAATAAGCAAACAACAGATGGAGGTTAATAAAAAAAAATAGGGACACTTGGGTGGCTCAGTGGTTGAGCTTCTGCCTTTGACTCAGGTTATGATCCCAGGATCCTGGGATTGAGTCCCACATCAGGCTGCCCACAGGGAGTCTGCTTCTCCCTCTGCCTGTGTCTCTTCCTCTCTATCTTTGTCTCTCATGAGTAAATAAATAAAAATTTTAAAAATATAAAATAATAAAAAAATTAAGGAGAAGAGGAGTTAACAGGGTAGGTGGGAAGAGCTCAAAGAAGAGATATAAAAGGTATGGGGAAATGGGATCTTCTTGGGGTGATGTAATGTTCTAAAATTGAATTGTGATGATAGTTGCACAATTCTGTAAATTTACTTTTTATAAACCATTGAAATATACACATTAAAATGAGTAAATTTTATGATATGCAAGTTATACCTGAATAAAATGAAATGATTGGGGGGACAGAAGAGTTTAGCTAGCAGAAGCAGGTGGAAAATGCACTGCTAGAGCCCTAGAAAGAAAACAAAGATAGTAGAACACCTGGGTGGCTCAGTGGTTGAGCATCTGCCTTCACCTCAGGGCATGATCTTGAGGTCCTAGGATTGAGTCCCACCCACATCAGGAGCCCACTTCTCCCTCTACCTATGTCTCTACCTCTCTCTGTGTGGGTCTCTCATGAATAAAGAAAGAAAATCTTAAAAAAAAAAAACTACTATGGCAATGAAAATCTCAAAGCAGTGAGAAGTAGAATAGACACTGCAAAAACTTAAGTCTGTGTCAGAGCGCCTCAAGCTTGAGAAAATAACAAAATGAAGAGGAAAAATCAGCAAAAAAATGAAGATCATTAGACAAAAGAGAGGGACTATAAAATATAGACTTCGCTTTTGTGATGCAGATACCCATTTCTGTTTAATGTTTATGAAATGTTGAATAATGAGTGTGCCAACATATGAGGAATAAGGGTCCTTAAGAGAATTCAAATGAAGAAATAAATGAGAAATATGTAAAAGGACTGAAGATGAGCATATAATCTAAGTATAGAAATAAGGCTATATCATGTATAAATTAGGGTCATGGGATATAAAAATATAAGTATGGGTGTTAAGAATATGAGTATACTAATTTCCTTGTTTTTTTTCATAGTGGAGACCAAAAGTATTGAGTCAGTAAGAGTTACTGATTTGCTCATTTTTTAGAAATTAATGAGAAATTTCCAAATTTACCTTTGAACTCCTTCCAGAAAATAATTTATGGTAGTAGCTTACTAATGACCTGTTGGAAAACTAATGATTAGTCCCTGTCCATGGGGCTGTTATATTCCATGTGCAAGAGAGTCATATGAAGTAGAATAAGAGAACTGTGGCACCCATGGCCAGTATTAACCATAAATTTTTTTTTTTTTACATGGCCATCTGTGGAAATTTAAAGTATGGCCACAGGCGCCGCCTGTAGCCGGGTGTGATCCTGGAGACCTGGGATCGAGTCCCATGTCAGGCTTCCTGTATGGAGCCTGCTTCTCCCTCTGCCTGTGTCTCTGCCCCCTCTCCCTCTGTCTCTATGAATAATAAAATCTTTAAAAAAATAAAAAATAAAAAAATAAAGTATGGCCACAGCAGAAACATCCCCTTCCATCAAGAGTTGAAGAGTTTTGTTTTTCTTTTTTTAAGATTTTTAATTTAGGGCAGCCCCGGTGGCGCAGCGGTTTAGCGCCGCCTGCAGTGTAGGGCGTGATCCTGGAGACCGTGGATCGAGTTCCGCGTCAGGCTCCCTGCATGGAGCCTCTCTCTCTCTCTCTCTCTCTCTCTCTCTCTGTCTCTATGAATAAATAAATAAAATCTTAAAAAAGATTTTTTAATTTATTTATTCATGAGAGCCACAGATTGAGAGAGGCAGAGACACAGGCAGGGGGAGAAGCAGGCTCCATGCAGGGAGCCTGATGTGGGACTCGATCGCAGGACTCCAGGATCACGCCCTGGGCTGAAGGCAGGCACTAAACCGCTGAGCCACCCAGGGATTCTCCGAAGAGTTGAAGAGTTTAATCTACTTTTTATACTTTGAATTTGGGCTTGGGCATATGAGTTGCTTTGAACAGTGGGACATCAAAAAGCAAGAAATAAGCAAAGGCTTAAAAAGCATTTACACATTTGGGTTTGCCTTCTCTTGCCTCTAAGAGCTGAGACCACCATGTAAAGAAGCCTGGGCTAGGCTGATAGAGGGTGAGAGATCATGTGGAGAAATAGGCCTAGCCATCCATTCCTCCCATCTGAGCCGAGGCCCCAGTTGGTTATGCGTGAGACCATCTTAGACCATCAACCCCAGCTGAGCTGTCCAAGCCAAAACAACTGCCCATTTAATCCACAGAATCATGAGGAACAAATACATTGTCATTATTTGAAGCCACTTTAGTTTTGGGGTTATTACATAGCAACAGTGTAGGAAAATAGTTACATGCATACAGTGTTGATAGAAATATAAAATGATATAATCTATTTGAAGACAAAGTTGACCATTCCATTGCTGGAATTTTGGATAATTATATTTATACAAATGTTCAAAAATGTGTGTGTGTGTGTGTGTGTGTGTAGGGGAGTTTGTTTCAGATGGAATTCTTAATTCCCAACAGTAGAGCCTACTCCAGTATGTTTTAATGGAAAGGGATTTACCAAAGGACATTATAGCTTACAGAGTCTCCAGGACAGCCAGGCTATATTGGCTAGGCAGCCAGGGAGCAATGTTCAAACCTCTTAGGGCTGCCCTGGTAAGGGGGA